AGACGGTACTGCTCGTTAAAAATCCAATCAAGTGCTATCACAACTTCATTGCATTTAACGGACTGTCGCTATTTTTTTTGTGTGTGTTTTCTTACACAGCCAGCCCTAGGCATGCATATTCTCCAGCAATACTAGTACTGCTCGAAAATTGTGTTGCGATTCAAAACCGTCCATACAAAAGGTGGCCCTGAAATACTATGAAGTGCTACTATACTATTACCTTTATCAATACGCCAGAAATCAGCCGGAAAAATACGAGCAATAAAACTTCTTATAGTCTGTTGCTGATTAAGAAAAGAAGGAGATGCCTCTCCCAGAAAGCTCTCTGCTGGCCATAATTGGTTGTTTCCTCCTCTCCACTCACCTCCTCTCCAGCGTTTCCTCTGCTAAAGTGGAAAGAGTGGAGGGCTTTGCGGCAGGAGCCTGTCTTGCTGGTCTTAAAGGGGTCCTGCAATCATATTTAAGCGTCTACCTTTTTTTTGCGGTTTCCACGTTTTTTCGGGTTCGGGCAAGCCAGCAGGCACGGAGAGAGTAACTAGATATCAGCCCGTCATAATTTAACCGGACGACGCGGAAACCTCCTCCACCTTCGGGGGTGACCCGCGGTGCGAAAAGCGCGCGAATTGTGACGTCTTTGGTCCTGAGCATAGAGTTATTATAATGTACGCTAAAGGTTCAAGTGGCGCTAGTGTGCTGTTGCAAATTGAAGCAGACAGCAACCAGTCTGAAATTGACTTCCAGTAATGCATTTCTATGGGAAAAAGCGAGTGCATTTTCTCGCTGTGCTCGATTATAAGAGCAAATATCACGAATATTTCGTACGTACTGGCACATTGGAACATTTCTCAGTCACGCAGACGAAATAATTGGTCAGTTACGGCGTTTTTATTGGAAATTCGTGGCATGAAAAACGGTGCTAAAAAAGCTTTGTACATGTATTTATGTGCACTGTCGGACACTGTTAGCGCGAACACGGCATCGGCGCTTTCCACCATGGGGAATATACGTGCCAAACGAACGAAGGACATGTGGAAAACCAAGAGAGACGGCAAGAACTACGCAGTAACACTGGATAAGTAACTCCTTGTGCATGCAGGCGATCAAAATAAATTGAAAGCCACGTATTATAGTCCGATTTGCAATAAATAAGTACTGCTTTATTCTTTCTGCTCATGAATATGTGCAAAGATGCATGTTCTGGGTTCAAATCATCAACCGCACGCTCTAAATATTTGCAAATTGGGAAACATCGGAGAACAGGTGCCCGATAAAAACTGCCCGGCATAGGAAATAATAAAAAGGCACACCTTTCGTAGTCCACGTACTTTATTTCTTACATTCGAATGTTTTTTAACCGTCGTAAAGATGCACGACGGAGTCATTTTCATAGAGTGACCGTACAGGCGTATTAGCAATATATAAGCGCCACCGCATTGCTAGCGAACCTTGAACACACTCTACATTCTTTTCCATCGTTAGTTTGCTTAGAATCGTCGCTTGTTTTTACATACCTGCCATGAAACATAGGTTTGGGCCTGAAATATAGCGAAGCTTAACATCGTTCACTGGTGAAGAAAAATGCTGTAATTAAAGCAATTACACTTTTAAAATATTAATAAATGTACATACTATCCGGTAGAACCGAAATAATAAAAGTTATTCATGTTATTTTCCGGCGAAGAAACAAAATGCACGCGCGTTTTCCCACAGGAAAGCACAGGAGCACCGCAAAAGTAGACTGGTTGCTGTCTGCTTCAATTTGCCTCCCGGAAGTCGCATAGACACTAGCGCCAGTTGAACCTCTAGCGTACATTATAATAACTCTATGGTCCTGGGCTCACTGCTGGTCAGAGCCGCTGAATCTTCTTTTTAGTCGAAATACAAAATATAAGTGGTGCGAGCCGTTTCAATTATTTATAAAAGTAGTTTTTGTTCAGTATATTAGATCAGAAAAGAAACAGACGCAGTTTATGAAGTCCGGAAACAAGAAATGACTCGTCGACATACCCGCCACCAAGCGGTGGAAAAGGCGGCGCATACTAGAAAAGGTGTAGTGGGATCAGGCACCGACGAGCGGCGAGCGTAGAAAAGTCCCAGATGTACGCGGCGGCGCTTCAGTCGAGAATCCGACCGGTTCCGAGCGTTCCGAAGGCCTTCGGCGAGCAGCAGCTTCGGCTTGCGGTTTGGCCCTTTGGCGGCATGGCAGCGCGAAGTGGCTCCCGTTCTGAACTGATCTTTACCCCGTGTTTGCTGTCGTTTGTGGCCAATGAAGTGTCATGTCAAATTAGCGTTTAATCGCGCAGCAAATGCAATGCGAGCCGCCCTGGCCGCCCGTTTCATACAACCTATCCAACACGTGCTTTAGTGGCGCCCTCTCGAGCCGTCGACACGGAGTGCGGCAGCCGTGACTGCTTGCTGAGCTCACTACCCCTCCTCTAGTTCACGGCCACTCAAGCGACCAAGGACGTCATGAAGGGGGCTATTTTTTGCTTGTTTTTGTAATTTTAATTTGGTTATAACTTTCAAAAATAAAGCGAAATTCGAGAAAAAAAAGTTTCTTTAAATACCTGAGCGCACTGCACGTGCAGTGCGCTCAGGTTTGGTGCAAATTAAAAACCAGTAAAAACGTCCTTGCAGGGCCCCTTTAAAGGGACAATGAAGGCAGTTTCGGATATTTTTTTGGCGATTGAACTGGGTTCCCGGCGCGCCTCAGCCCACGATGCCCAAATTTCAGCCGAAACCGGCGCTTGTGTGCCGCGCAAATCAATTAAACAGTCGAGGTAATAATCGTACCGGGATCGATCGAGGCGACGCCCCGAGTGTTGCGGGAGAAACCAGCAGAGGCGGAGGTCACGTGACCCTGCGGGGCCTGGAAACATCACGTCACTAGAGACGTGTCAGCGATTGGTCGAAACGAGAAACGTGCCCTCGGTCACGCTTTGGTTCGTGGTTTTTATGAACACTGTTCTAATTCCACTTGAATAACCACGAAAACTATAAATCGAACCGAAAATGATAACTAAACCGTAAACAAAACATCATAATTATTTTTCTCTTTGCTACACTGCATGCGAAACGGGCAACGAGCAACTATGGGCAAACAAAATATATAAAATAAAGAACACAGCGCGGAGCACGCGGGAGTTTTTTGGTTCTGGGTTCAGACGTCGGTGCCGTGTTTACTTTAGGAACACGGCACTCGAGGGATTCTGCAAAGCGGTAGTCATGCCAAATTTGTGCGCAGTTGAAGGATGTTCAAACGGTCGACTGAAGACCCGTGATCGTTCGGGCGACGCTAGTTTGCACCTACTCCCAAGCGATGAAATGAAGCATTGCGAAGTCTCTGGTTGAACAGCGTTGTTTTGCGCAGAGGTCTCGGCGATGGCGTTAGAATTTGTTCGCTACGTTTTCGGTCAGGAGACTTTGAACACAACCTTCAGGTTAGCCGGAGTCTGGGCGTAGGTGTGAGGCGAATCACACTGGGTCGGCGGCTATTCTGGGGCGTCCTCGTAAAGAGGCATTCCAGAGTTCCGTGTCCTTAGGAGCATCTCCCGTTCTGTTGGTGACAGGTCACTGAACGGGAGCCCGAATTATCTCGCGAGAGCGGCATTGCCGTCCATGTTGGTCCGACGAAACGACCGCGCCACCGCGCTGCTATAACCCACCGCGGTAACCGGAGTCTCGACGCCCTAAATGCTGCCGGTACCGAGAATTCACATGTGACGTCACTCCCTACGTCACCTCCGTTTTCGGAGGCCCAAAAACGAGAAACGCAGATAATTCAGTTTCGGTTTCTTCAGTTCTTTCGTGGGTACAGAAATACGCGTCACAAATGGCTATAAAAAATTGGGCAGTATGCCAGGTTCCCAAGAAGCCTAAAAACACCGTTTAAAAAAAAATAATTAAAATCGCCTTCATTGTCCCTTTAACCTGCAACAGATTATAGTTAACCGTCGTTTGACACCACGCTACCGGAAAATGTAGGGAGCTGGAAGGTCTCTGTTTTGACACCTTTGTGTCTTAACGCCCTTTAGGTTTGCTTCACGACAAGCGTCTTTCTAACGTTTCATAATCTCTGCGGTCCCTTAGCGTCCATCTTAATCAAGAGCGGAAAGATTTCCGTCGTCCGGTTTTTTACCCTAGTAAGCGAGAGTGTTCCGTGGCGAACTCTTTATCTTATAATTTATTAGTTGGCAAACTGGCACGTTATCGCTGAAATCGCAGTTTTATAGGCACGTGGCTGCCACGTGGCGTCCTAGAATAAATCCTGGCATGCTTATCTTAAAAGATAATAGTGGGTACTAGTTGTGCTTGCTCCAAGAAAAATTAACAAGCGACTGACTGTAAATATACGAAAGTGTTCGAATGCAGAAGATAGAGTAGTATCTTCTCTCTTTTTACAATACGCGCGTTTTGACTTCAGAGCAACTTTATTGATTTGGCAGGCGCACCACGGAATAAAACTAGCTTCTATTCTTTTTTCTTGTTGTTGTTGGTTGCCATCACTAGAATAAATGTCCACGTGACGAACTACCGCGACAGCGTAATCTAGATACCAGGTTATTTTCTTTCCGTCGAAACACCGAGAGGAAGGAAAAGCCCCTGCCAAGCTCTCGGTCTTTATCGCAGTGTCACAAGGCCAGCAGGCGTCCCTGGATGTCAGTGTCAAAGTCTCCGTCAACTTCACCAAAGTCAGCATTTGGAGTGTTCACAGTGATAGCAGCCGGTGATGGTCATAATCGATTGTCAGTAGAAGACAGGAGCGCGCTGTTTTCTAAGGCTGTACCAAGTCCTGCTGATCAATGTCGACCTTCAGTTAAACTCGGAGCCGTGTCAATGACAAATTTTTCCGGAACAAGCGAACTCTAATATCACCAGTGGCGATGCTGTTTCTTGCCATATTGGCTATAATCTAAGTGCTCCCTAGGCGAAAACTCAACTCTCCGATTCCCAAGTTTACACCCCAACTCTGGAAACCCTAGAAGACTGTACCAGGAGACATGGACGTCACCAGCGTCATCGGGGACTACGGCAAGTTCCAGAGGAATATCTTCATGTTCTGCCTGCTCAGAGGTTTCCCAAATGGCCTTCACCTGGTGGTGTACACTTTCTTTTTTCCGGTAGTTGAACACTGGTGTGCTCCACCCGATGCACTCTCCGGAAATATGACCACGGATTACTGGAAGACTGTGGCGCTGCCCCGTGAGACAGGCGTCGGAGGCAGCATTGGTTACAGCAGCTGTTCGATGTTCCCGGTGGAGCGCGTTGGAGAGGAGCTTGTAGCTTTTAAAAACGGCACGGTTCCCTGCGAAAGATGGGAGTACGGCGAGAGCTTCTACAGACATTCCCTCGTCCAGGAGGTAGGTACACATGGTGAAGGTCACGTGGCTTCTAGCACTCGGATCCAGGGGCGGATGCGGGAATTTCCTGAGGGGGGGGGGGGGGAGTCAGGTGTTGGTCAGCGTACCATATGTTTAGGAACCCCCTCTTCCTGTCCCTCGTTTCACGCCCTAAATTTTACACATGCAGAAATCAAGAGGGGGGTCAGGACATCCGGACGCCCCCCTCTAAATCCGCCCCTGCTCGGATCCCAACTTTCAAGTTGTCTTCCGCATTGCCGATGCTTTATCTTGCTATAAATCGTACACGAAAAATGGCACTTGAGGGCACGAAAAGCCTATCCGGACGGAATCATCAATTTGGACGCGCGCTTTTTTTTCTTTGTTCAATAGTTGGCACACGTTGTACCTTAGGGTTGTGAGTTCTCAAGTATAAACTGTGACTTGCCAAAACTGATTTTTTTTTCCTTTTCCTTCAGTTTGTCGGCATACCAACACAGGTACTTATTCACTAGGGCACTGTAGAACGACGTACACAAAACATTGCTTTTTATATTCACTGTCAACTTAAAGGGACACTGAAATGACATTTTTTTAAAGGGCATAGGTGGGACACGTATTTTGATAAATTTTCCAGGATTTTTTTTTTTTTTTCGCCGCCGTTAGACGCAATTTAGGAGGAGGTCACGACCCGCTCTAAGCACCGCCCATAATTACTGGATTGGCTTGGCTGCTCGGCCGAACGCGCTCGCAAGCCTAGCGTTTCTGTTTCCTGACATCCGGTACGTCTAGTCTGGCGTCTGTCTGACACACGAGCAAAGGCGTGCCATCCTCCGGAATCGTGCACTGCCCGTAAGACCATAACATAAAATCTGCGCTTCGGCGTCAATTTTCACCTTTGTTCGTCTGCTATTCCGGCCCCGTTTAAAAGCTTCCGCAACGCTCACATGGCGCGATTATGAAAGTGGCGTTCTAGCGTTCCATGATGCTCGAGGCACGGTCCAATACAAGCGTCTGTCGGCGTCTGTAGATGTTCAATAAAAAGCGACCGAGAGGACCAAAAAAATTTAAAATGAATATGCAGTCCTTTCAGTTTTGTGTTCTTTTTTTTTTTTTTTTTTTTTTTGGGGGGGGGGGGGGGGCATGGCACCTGTGAGTTAGGTGAGTGAGCATCATGAAGCAAAATTTAAAGCGCGACCTAAAAATACTGGCTTTGGCAGGCCAGGTGCACTGCAAAACTCGGGAGCTACTTTCCTATCGAAGCGAAATGACTGGAGCATACCTGAACAAACTTGATGCGAGCCGAACGCCCGATTGCCTCTAGCGAAATGTCTCGCAAATTTTAACCCGGTGTAGGTATCTTCTCGGTATTAAAACCGTGGTTGCAATCACCACGGTTGCACAGTTCACAAAGCAGCGGCCAACACCTTTATTCGGCGTCAACACGCGCAAAGAAATAAATCAAGCCCGAAGTTCGTCTGCTCCTCGCACGTGGGTTAAGATGATGTCAAAACGCTAAGCTTTTATCGGCTGATTGAAACAAAAAAATAATAAGTAGACATCAAGGCATCTAGCATTGAGGTCTACCCACTATCCTTTCAATCAAAGCCAATGGGAACTCGGCGTCGTTCTGGTGTCACCCCTGCGCAGGAAGCAGACCACTTTTTCTCCGCATAGGCTCAACAGATGACGTGGGACGCTAGGCCAAGCACCCACACAGCGCGCTTCTGATGGATGGATGGATGGATAGTAATGGTTATACCCTCTGTAACGGGCGGCAGCTTGTGCCCCCTAGCCTAACATTTCGTCATCCTTTTTTTTTTTTAATTTGAAGGCGCGTACTTGCGACAGTTGTTTGATGCAAACTAGGTCGCTTGAGGAGGTCTTATTCTAAACACCGCAGTGAAAGCAGAACGACTCGCAGTTATAAAAATAAATGCGCTCAACGAGTTAGGCTCCCTTAAGCACGCCCCAAACGCCGACAGCCATGGTTGTATTATTTCGTTTAAAATTGAAGCGGAAAAGGCAGTCTCGGGATATATATATCTGTGAAAAAAAAAAATATATATATGAACTCTATCTAGATGATCTGTTTCTCTAACATAGCTATGTTGTCGATAAAAATACTATTACGGCACGAAGAACCAATTTTACAACGAACATTTGACACGTCAATCATCACTCCAACCTGAGAGCCGAAAAACGGTGCTTAGCACAGTGTTGTAGGCGTTACAGAAAACAAAAAGGTAACGAAATACGTTACTGGTTACTGGTTACCTTCGTTACCACAAAATAAAAGGAACGCTTCACCGTCACAGCTACCGATAAAAAATAACGCACGTTACTCCTGCGCTACTTTTTGTTTATGAAATGACATCATTTTTCGACACTGGGACAAAGGGCGTGGTCGTTGGGCATTTCCCAAAGTGAGAGTATTTGCGTGGGAAAAAGAGAGGCGACATTTCGAAGGTATGAGTTTACAAGAAATCATAGGATTTGCCACCTAAAAACACAAAACAATTGGAGTGTAATCTTTTTGTAAGCCTTGGGAAGACGAATAATGAGTGACGTAACTGCGTTACCCATTACTCGAAATACGTAGCAGTTGCTAAATTTAACAAGTACGTTACTACGTTGCCGAAAAATGTAACCTGTTACCGCTAACACTGGAGACTAAGTACCTTTCGTTGCGGGCGGGGCCTAGAGCAGGGCTACCCCCACCTAAATTGCGTCTAACGTCGTAAATATTGCTAAAGAAAAAAAGTTTCTTTAATCGTGGAAACATTAAAAAAAAAGTACCCCAACTAGTCCTTTTCAGAACCGTATATATTGAGAGACTTCGGCAGAAGCATGGAGCTTGTGACCTGCTATATCTAGCTATAATTAGCTGACCTCGTGATAATACAATATGGAGATTCGTTTTCATTTCGCCAGTCCACCCCGAGTGAGCCCACTTAAATTCGCGGTTACAAGTAGCGTTATGAAAACATTTCTCGTTCACTGGTATTCTATTACGATTGTAATTGGTCGCTGCAATCAAAGACCGCTTACGTTTTATCGATCTCCAATATCAAGATTTAGAAACAAGCTTTTTATCTATTTCTTTTTTTTTAAAAACGCGTGACCTTAAAGTTTTACACGTGACCTTAAAGTTTTACGTCAAAGTTTTAACGAAGCACCTCGCACAGATAATTTGTTATTGATGTTTTATAAAACAGTACCGACGATATATCTTATTTTCGTTTGTTTTAAGTCCAAAATGTGATTTTACGAGAAAAGCTGGGACAGCTTCGCAATGGCTCCGCTAGATGCCGTCAGCCGCGGTGCAGTGTTTTGGGTTTTTATCGGAGCTAGACACTGATCTCTAAGGCTAAAGTTATTGAAAAAACTTAGTTTATCAAGTTTTTTTTACAGCAATGCACTACAAATCTCGGCTCCCTCTTGCGTAAAAGCATCAGGATTTGTACGGTCGCGTGTCTAGAGGTCAAAATTGTACAACATGGCGGCAACCAAGGGGGGGGGGGGGGGGGGGGTAACTTATGTCTGGTGAACGGGATACAAGTTTATCGCTCCAAGCCTCTCTCCTCGTTAATTTAAAGATAAAGTCTACCACCAAAAAGAAAATATTACCAAACAAAAACACATCTATCTTGTCTTGTCAGTTCAAAAAAAAAAAAAGAGGTACTTTTTTGCCGCTATGGCATGCCCATACATCGTCCAGAAAACACGGTCTTCGATCCAGACATAAGAGAGAGTTTTAAGGAAACGTTTCTGCACATACGAACTGCGCATGCGCCACCAAAGAAGACTCGCACATGCGCAGTTCGTACCGGAGGGCCCGTCGTACCGTATCGGAGGGCGTGCAAAAACGGTTCCCTAAAACACTCTAATGTGACAGCACCGCCATGCAAGGAAGAAGCACACCTCGGACAGTGTTTGCAGGCGGTCATTTTGTAAGATGTGTATTAGCAATGGAGACCTCAACTTCAATGTAGCAAAAAAAAAATTATTAAAAAAAAAAAAGAAACAAACTTTCAGCCTTTTCACTTTGCTGAAGAAGGAAGACCAGCGGAACTGTACAATGGAAAGTAATAGCTGGCCGCAAGTCGGCAAGCTGCAGAGTGGAAAGGCTGCCGCCACCTATGAGTGACGGCGGCATCCAGATGCGTGGCTTGCCGCCGTCGCTCATAGATGGCGGTAGGTGTCCAGAGTTCGGTGTCGTCCTTTTTTTTGCGGGGGACAGGATCCTGGGAAAACTAGCTCTTAGCAGCTCCGCTGTAGAAAGTCAGGATGGCCAACGAAGAAGGGGATGGTGAAACTGTGCCGCGCGTTCCGTCCAGTGGGACCTGGTCTGCGACAGCGCCTGGATGCGGTCTCTCGTCCAGAGCGCCACCATGGCTGGGATGCTCGTAGGCAGCGTACTCTGCTCTTACCTGGGGGACAGGTGAGATAGCCGCTCTATAGACGCTTTCAGCACGCGCCAAATTGAGCCGCCATAGCCGCCCTTCTCTTGTCTTACCAAGACGCTGAGCCACTGAAGCGGGCGTTGACGAGTCTCCACGAGGGCCTATGCTGGGGAGAAGGACACAGTAGAATCTAAAATGGCAATGAAGCGTCCTGCTCTGGTAATGGTTACGTGGAGGGAACAGAATAAGAGGAAACAAAAACTGAAGGTCGGTTATGGCGGCGCCCATGTAGAGCTGCCTGAAAGCGTCTATACTGTGTCTTTCGATAGATTGGAGATTGGAACGGGCAAAAGGAGTTGGCGCATAACGAGGGAGCAGGCCATAGCGTCGACGGATGGCTTACCATGCTCAAAGCGCAATGTGAAGGCTGGTTCGTACATTTGCGTTTGAGTGCGATCCAGCGCATTCTGACAGCTTATGACCGCTTACGTCTAGAGAACACACTTGCATCATCTATCACGTGGGCAACACTTGCACCGTAGTCAAATCTTTTATTATTCTTTCTTCTTTATTCTTTCTACGGCGTAACCGCGCGTTGCATTATGGGACGTCTCTTATAGGGACGTTACACGTGACATCACGTGCAACGTCAAAAGGGCCAAATTTTCCTGCTATATTTGGCGGGAAATCTTTCGCTGAATTTAGCGGAAAAATTTCTCGCCAAATTCAGCGGGAAATTATACCCTCGTGACGTCACACGTGACCCTCCCCTCCTCCTCCTCAAGAGCTGCGCTCTAATTCGGCAGTACAGAGAATTGTAAATTTTTTTTTACGCCATAATTTTTTTATAGTTTTAAAATTCTCCTTAGCATGTTATTAGTGCTCATTTCTTGCGAATAATGAGTCGATTCGATCTCGCATACATAGCAAAAGCATTCAAACTAGTCAGATGGGTGCATAACAGTTTACTCAAACCACATAAATTGGTGTGGTTCCTCCATGGCATGGCCCTTTATGGAGAAGGAAGTAGTTAGAGGTTTTTGCTTAGGCCTGCCGCCTCCGAGTAAGATTCTACACGTTACAGCAAAGTCAGACGTCGAATTTCATTGATGACGTTATTGCATCGTTTCTCTCTCCTCTGCATTGGGCGCAATTCCAAAGAAGGGATTAAAAAAAAATTATTTCTTAAAAAAAAAAAGAAGAAATATGAGATAGAGGTTGAACTATATTTAGAATCTCTTTGTGGTATCTGCTATTTTCCTTTGAGGGCCTATTTTTTTCGTGAAGCTAGCAGCATTTCTTTCTTTGTTTCTGATACTGCACAAAACGCTATGTAAAAACTGATGGTTTTACATTTTTATGACAAACTTGTGAAGTGACAAAATGTCTATGTGTAGTTTTATCCCGTGAATCTGAATATCGTATTCATTTTCCCTGAAGATGTAACTAAACGCGAGAAAACACCAAAGACCTCCGGCCAGTCGTTATTGCAACATGGATACTCTGGTGGGTTCGGGGCAAATTGCTAGTATAGGGTGTATAGACTAGGCGCCATATTTGAAGGCGATGTTTAGAGCGCATGCTCGGAACGACCTCACATTACTAGGCTGCTAAGACGGGCAATCTCGACGGTGCGGAATGCACGTTGCAGAAGAACTGCGGAAGCTCGCCGTCAGCACGCGCTCAGCAGCCGCGCACACAGATATTGCCGCCAGTGAATACTCCTTATAATGTCTAGTCTTTTTGCACTTTTACGCATTGTGGTAGGCACATCGCAGGGATTTCAGTGTCGGCGTTTGTAGGCTGTCGTCGCAACAGAAATGGCAAAGTCCTTCCTCTCTCCCCTCAAGGCACGAGGAGAGATAAACTGGGTGTTCCCATTGGCCGCGCCGGACGGAGAGGGAAGAGTTAGAGCCCCGGCGACAAGCGCAGCTTTTCCTGGTGTTGTTGAGCGGGGAAGGGAGGGTGTAATGTTGATGTTTAGCAATAAGCGGAAAGGGGGACGCATGCAGAAAAAAAGAGGCGAAGCTCTGCTGGGATGGCGGCTGCACGTCGACGAGCTTTGGCAGAACATATTTTACGTTTCGAGTTGGGTTCATTAAGTAAAAGTGTTATAGTGAAATTGAACGCGGTGGAAGTTTCTAAAACGCTCCAACATTACGCGCAGCAACTGGCAACGTCGGCGCATGTTTTCTTGTCAATGTGTGAAGTAAAAGTGATAGCTGATGTACGGTCGCCCAGTGCGGGCAAAATGGTGTCGTCCCGTCCCGTCCTCGGGTACGTGGCACCATTATGCCCGGTTTGCGCGAGCGTGCCACAGCGATCGCTTTTACCTTTACGCGCATTGTGGGCGAAAAAGGCACCCTTTTTTCATTGTTGAGGTTATACGTTGTAGTTATGCGGCTATGAAAAAGGTTCATGCGTTGCGTGATTGATGGCGTCAGTCTGCCAGCGTGTTCCCTTGTCGAAAGCGGTCAGAAGCGCTGACAAGACACCATTGGCTACATTCAAACGCAAATGTGTGAACCAGCCTCAAAAAATGTGTAGTGAGGTAAAACGCGCTGACACAAACGGCACACCTGCCTCCCAATTTAAAAGCTCGCTGCCGCGACGTCTGTCAATGATTCGGCAGTGGCTCATTCACCCAATGAGCCTGAGTATACGCCAAGGCACAATGAGGCCAACCAGGATTGCCGTTCAGGACAACTCCTTTCAATTTTTACGAACCACCTAGATCAATCATGTTCAGCTGCAGAAAGATGACTGGAGAGCACTGAAATGCACGTTCGGCACTGCTTGATTGGCTGCATCGTATGATTACACCGGATTTTTAAAACATCTACCAAACTCCAGCTCATATCAGTCAAGCTATTGTCTTGATGAAGGACAATAATTCGACTTCTTGTCCCATCGCAACAGACATATGAGTCCGGAAAACTTGTGAGCGCAAACAGAGACGAACACCCAAAACGGCGACACGGACAATCGTTTGTGCATGTACTTTTCTTCTTGTTCGTCCCTGTTAGCGCCTACAAATTTTCTAGGCACAATGGACCAACTAGCCCAACAAGTCTCGTTAAAGGCATATCTGCGTTTGATTGGTGCCGAAACTCACGAAAGGGTATCAGTGCTATAGTGGACCATTTTCGGATATCGCCCTGTTCCGGAAGCTCTTGTAAACGAAAATACGTAAGCATGTGCTCAAGTGTGCTCAAGAAAGATAAATCCTGCGGGTTCTATTGAGCTGGAGTAACCTAGATTGGGCTCACTAAACTCCCCTTTGTGCCTATTGTGACCTATATTTTCGCTGCGAAGTTCGTTCCAACACCTTCCTCCCCATAATTCGCGCATTGTTTCATCCTGCGCGTCGTTGAACTTTGTTTTTGTGTCTCAAAATGGTGGATTATCCGCTCAAATCAAAACCAACATGGGCGCAATTTATTCTTCCTGCGCAGGTTGGGACGTCGACCTTTGATCATCATGTCCTTCACCCTCAGCCTTGTTTGTGGTTTCATCATCGCGGTGTCACCATCCTACCTGTTTCTTCTGGTTGTGAGGCTCATTTTGGGTCTAGGATTGGGCCTGGGACAGGCTTCGTCTTTCTGTTTACGTAAGGGCCAAGTCACGTTTTTTTACACGAAATGCGTTTAGGGCTAGGTTATTGTTTAAAAAATGTCCCAAAGCAGCTGAACGTGAAAGTATACATATAATTTGAATTGAATAGGTACATAATCCCGCTAAGCATAGCGGTGAAATTGAATATATGCTAAAAATGACGCTCACATTCTGTGCACCTCAGCTTTATCATAGGAATCAAGCACGCTTCCATTTTTTTTGTTTTTATAAGGAAGCGATGACTCCTTTTGATATGACGGGTCTATGCACGAGATTCAAATGAGAACCCATTGCTTTAGTATGTTCTCCCATTGCAAGAGCGTTCTCGCAGCTCGGAGCACGCACGTGGTTTCGAAATACCCGCTGCAGAACTATTAATGCGTTAGCATTAGTACCTACATGAGAGCGAAATGCTGACGCCGTCCGTCTGTGGACAAAACACTGGAAAGAGAAGCGCGCCGCGTGGAGAGGACAGTAGTGACGGACAAAGGTGAAAGGGAGGCGACGTCACGGGGCGGAAGCCAATGAGCGCGCGGGAAACACGTGAACAGCGAAAACTGAGTCAGACAGCGGATACCGCTTCTAAGCCTGCATGGTCGGTGAACGAGACAGAGGAGCGGAGGCAGCGCCTACCTCGGCTGGCCGAATTATGCGGCGCAAGAAGCGGCAAGCCGACGCGGGTCTGCGTGCGACAGAGGCTGGTGCGAAGCGGGCTCGAAGAGCCCGCTTCGCCGGAAAAAAAAAGATTAAAGGAAGATTCGTTGGTGGATCTTTAGGAAATACGTTAGCATGACTCTTGGGAAACGCCACACACGGCCCCCTTTGGTAAACGCTAACACTGCCCCCGTAATGAACCCAACAAGAGGCAGCAAAGAATAGAGGAAGCAAAAGAGAACGCAAAAAGAGAAAACCAAAACAAAAAAGTGAATGGATCGGCTTTTCCGTTCTCTAAAGGGAAACGCGTGTGGAGTTTCCAAAGGGTCATGCTAACGCATAACCTAAGTAACCACCAATGAATCTTCCTTTAATTTTGGTTATAGCTATCACAATTCATGCCCCCTTTCTAACTAAATAAGCGACGTACCGGCGTGCGGTAATGTGTCATTGTGGGGTGTACATTAAAGTACCGGGCTCGCAGCCGCACTGCACTCGCTAAACTTGTTATCTGCAGTGTAAGCCTGTATCGCCATACCGTTGCAGACTGACCTCACTCTGTCTAAATATCCAAAGCAGGGGTGGCAAGACAGACATATGCAAAAAGCCATAAAGAAGACGCAGTACAGAGTTTTAGTAAAGAAGTGTTGTGGTAGTTTTTGTTATGTATTTTTTTCGCCTCGGCTGGTGACCACAGCGACTTTCATTGATTGCTCAATATGGATCCTTACTGTGTTCTTCCCTGATCTAAAGTCTAATGGATTTTTTAGTAATTTCAAGCTTAGTCAACTTGTGTCTTTTTTAATCGCTCCACAGGTTTGTTGGTCATTGTGTGTAACTGCAAGAAATATGCTTTTGAATTACGTAGCTTAACATTCCCGCTCGGGTGTAGCTGTAACAGCTTGTCAGTGAATCGCAAATCGCAAGCGTCAGTTTACATTGTCATGGTGCCCGTGAAAATATATTTATATGAATCTATAAATCTTTTATTGTCATCTGAATTAGAATATTTATTCGTGTCCTTTGAATCGGTGCATTGTGTTACAAATACTGCTAAAGCACAAGAGGGAACCTAAAATGGCACACTGTGAACAAAGTCGTAAAAGTACGCTCTTGGGAGTAGCCAACACTCTTTACGATACTTTTTTGTTGTTGCAGTGATGGAGGTGGTTGGGCCATGCAAGAGAACGACAACAGCCGTCGCCTTCTCCCTGGGATTCGCCATAGGGCTTCTAGCTCTCCCGGCCTTCGCCTGGGTTTTCCAAGACTGGAGACATCTGCAGGCCGTCATCTCTGTGCCTCTGGTGATCTTCGTAGCATGGTCTTGGTATGACAATCTCTACTGAAAACACGTTGCGGTTTTTGTAAAAGACACACTATACGTCTCTAATATGCATTTTCAGCCGCGGGTTAAACGAATAACGGTAGCTGTAGACTGGCAACTCACCGGGTAGTTCTAACAATCATCATTCCACACGCTTTCGAGAAAAAGAAAGAGAAGAATTTGCGTTTATTAAAGAATGAGGTAAACCAGCACATACTGCTGGTTCGCTACATTATAAAATCAACGAAAAGGAAAATAATAATCAGATCGAGAAAGGCAAGAGAGAAAAGAGACAGACCAATAAAATACAAGTGTAAGAACAAAAAAAAAATTGCCATAAGTATCATTTCCGATAACAGTGCATCACCACTCACCAGAGTCTCTGTGCAGGTGAGCCTTGTGATATTTTGGAAAAGCTTTCGTAGAGGCTCAATCAGGTCTTATTGCCCTCCTTTTCAGGCTGTATTTAAGCAGTCGAATAAAGCTTGTTGGATGTCATGTGCAATTCCACATGACGCTGCCGACGTTATGAGGTGACAAGACCAATCATAAAGCGTCAGAAATGCAACGTCATGGCATTTGTCATCTTGGTGCGCGTCTGCTCTAATCAGCGACAGAAGTCAGACGCAATAAATGGCCATGCCTTTAGGCATTTAGCGTAGAGTTGTATTGCCTTTGACTGTACTTTGTCTTATGCTGAAACAAAGCATTACACACACAGATATTCCACAAGCCTCGGCTCCCATGCACCTTGGGGCGAAGAGCGCAACGATTGTTTGTTTTATTCCTTTATTAAAGCACTATAAATGTTGCGCTCGTTAGACCTACCAACTTAAGAGGCTTCGTGGCAATAACGTTTTGGTGCCACCCCTGAGATGCACAGATGCACATACAAATTAGGCAGTGTGGGGTTCATATAACGAGCTTTACTGTCTTTTTCCTTAGGTATCTTCCGGAGTCCCCGCGTTGGTTAGTGGCGACGGGAAGGTTGAAGAAGGCACGAAAGGTGCTCCTTCAAGCAGGGGCTGCCAACAACATCGAGATCAAGAATGTGGACTCTATCATCGAGCAACTTCGCCGCAAAATTACGGAGGTATTTGTTGCCCCCACGGAATAACATCACGAGGAACCCGGTACAACATTAAGACGCTCAGCACAAGCGGGCGTAGAGTGTGTACACTTTTCAACCAAGTTCCTTCTACGAGTCGTTAACCAGTTCAAGTTGATGTTTGCCTCTATATACGCAGTGATGTTTTGTCCGCTGACGTCATTTTGCTAAGTTATCTGATGGATGGATATTTCTTGAAAATTTCTTTTCGTTCGTAATCTAAGACGTTACTTGCCCGTAAGGACATAATAACCCACGCTACGCCTCGTAAGAACAATGACAAGCTAGAACGGACCTTGCTTTCCTCTCTAATAACGAGAAGCTCAACTTGAACTGTAAAAAGAGTGTGGATAGATGTGCACTCCAAAGCGGAAAGGTTCAACATTAACGAGTTTACCAAAAAGCTTGAATATCACCAATTTCTTTTTACGGCATCGCAGTCATCATTTTGTTCGTGGCGTGTTTTTGATTTATATTTAATTTACCTAGATACAAAAAGCAAGTCCTTTAGCGATTGATCAAACAAACGGAATCAGTTATGCAGTCCTGAGCCCACTGAAACGGCTGCTGGCCAGTGAGCGCGTAACTTGCACCTTGATACGTTATGGACCCCTTTCGAAAGTCACGAGCCGATTGTTAGAAGTTTGGATATCACTGCACGCCCGCGGGACCAAAGTTCCTAGATAAGAGCCTCCTACAAGTAGCGACATTCTTTGAAGCATCGACTGCTGACCGCGCAGGTCTTAGGAAGCGAAAGGCGGTGCATAGAAGAAGACTGAACTGAATGATGCCATTTTGTCCCAGTGGATTGTGCTTAGTCAATTGTATTGGTTGTAGTTACTTGTAAAAAGAAGTATCAAGGGACTTTAGGTGGGACAACCTACATTGCGGAACGTGCGAGACATCACAAAAGGTGACGATAAAAACGAGTTATCGTTACTGACAGCTCAAAAAACGCAGGGGGCGCCGAGTCCCTAACATCTTCTCGTCACAACACAGCCAGTGAGATTAGCAACGCCCTCTTTTTATAAGCTGCCGGGAACTATAGGCAACCTGCAGTGCTGTTTGGTTTGGCGCTATCTAGCGACTGAAGCAAGAAACATTGGGTATGCTTGGGGAGTGGCGGCTGCATTGTTCGAACGTGAGAAATTACTCTTGTGGCGTCGCTGAGCCCAGTGTAGCGAGAAATACTGGGTAGGCCAAGGAAGCCGTGATCGCATAACATGCCTCTACGGCGGACGCTGCGGCCCTGGCGGGTCAATAGGAACGTGACTACGTAACATCGGAGTGCGCTTTTACTGAGAAGTATCAGGCTTTTCGCTTCGTCATGATCCAATACCTGTGCATTATATTGCGATCGTATAGACCAGGGGTGGCCAGGTTGACCCTGCCTAAGAGCCGCAAACAAAAACACGAAACTTCCAAGAGCCGCTGGAAAAAGGGGGGGGGGGGGGGGGGGGGCAGAGCAAGAAACGAAACTCGAACTATCTTCAATCTATCCGAATCAAAAGCAGTTCAACTGTACGTAAGGTAGCAGTAGCACAAAGCTACCAAAACGCAACCTGTCTTTCAATTTAAAACGCGCTCCATTTCTCTTTTTGAGGAAGTGCTCGGGTGACCGGGAGGGAGGCGGGGGAGTGGGAAGGGGAGGGGGGGGGGGGGGGGGGGAGCGGGGTGGAGTGAGCCGCGAACCGCATTTCAGTAAGCGAAGAGCCGCATGCGGCTCTTGAGCCGCAGCCTATAGCCACCTCTGGTATTGGCCTTTGCATGGCTTATCACCCGGACGAAAAATGTTGAGTCACTGAGCTGTGGATGCATGTGCAGCGTCTGATATACCGCACAGCAGATCAACAGCGCATGCTCAGAAGGCGTTCCACAGCCCAGCAGACAGAGATGGGAGCGCACAGAAGGCGATATTTGCAAAGATTTATATGTATCGCATATCGAAGCCGCCGGCACACAATGTGATGCTTATCGTTCACCCTTTTCCATGTTACAAAAAGTCAAAATATAACCGTTGGCTCTCACTCTGCTGTTGCCGCCTGGCTGTTGCCGGCTGGCTATACGGCATGCAAGTTCTTTTGCTCTTTGCGCATCTCGTACGCTTTTTTTATGCCCCAAATGTGTCCACTTGCCTTTGTTTCAACCTGATCTCAACCAGTGACGTCCCGCGCTGGGCTGCCTCGCCAATGTGCGTTCCCGGCACGTTATCTAGTTGTTCTTCGATTTGAGAGCCCCCTCCTTGCGCATGGATGAGCCAAAGACGCATTTTTCGACACTTGCTCGACGGATAATCACAATACGTCGGAGCGCAGCTGTCGCTAGAAGCCGACGAGTCAATCAAACAGCACCGAAAGCGCAACGTCACTGGGTTTATGACTTTTCTTGGTGTGTTTTTTTCCTTTTGATGCAACCAAACACAGAAAGGTCCTCCGTGGCGTTGAGATCTTAGCCGGTGCGTTTGTTTTGTGTCTGCCATTGTGCAGGGATTTCATAGCTTCATAGCTTACAAACCAAGGCACACTTTTGACGTACGAGGTAACGTGTCGGAAAATATTGTGTTTTCTTCGACTGCAAGTCAAATAAAATAGCTGATTTTGCATTTGTCCGTCGGGAATAGACAGAGATCCTAGAGCCATCGACGAAAACGCAACAGGCGTTGATGTGACGGGCTTCGGGCCCTCGTGCACTTAGCAAACAGCCACGAAGATACTAAATAACATCACGATATGAAAAGATAAACACGCACGTACAGGTTCGCCGCACATTGTTCATAGGCATTTGTTTTTCCAGCAAGATGAGGCGGCGGGCGATGTGAACTGGTTCGATCTGCTGAGGACGCCGAAGGTGCGCCGGTACAGCATCATTCTGGTCTATGCCTCGTGAGTTGAATTTGGAATTATTCCACGTTGTAGAACTATATAATGGTCATCGTGTAATGTTAAAATCGCTTTGAAAAAAGAAAAACTCAGACAATCTAACTTTTATAATAGTACCAGAAAGAGTGCTACCGGACAAGCCTCTTGCTTGTTTCTTGTCACTTAGCTCAAGTGGTTTCTAGCATTCTTCTACCCGAAGCTCTCTCGCTCTTTGTCAATGCGGTGCACTTAATATAGCTGTCACTTCACTGACCTCGGGTCTTCTAAGCGACAAGATGCAGGAAAGAAATTTAGGTCATTAAAAAGTACTGGGAAAATCAGAGTTTTGGACCAAATTCATGTTCCAAAAGTCGTGTTCCGAATTGATCAATTAAATTAGTGGCAGTACATTATCTTAAGGGGTATTGCATTACCTGACAGGGAATACTTTTTGTACTTACAGGGAAGTGGGGGGGGGGGGGGGGGGATCGGTGGCAGAGTCACTTAACGCACCCCAGCTCTGAGCACGTGAAGCGAAAGCCCGTGCTGTAAAACCAAGGAATCCTGGGTTCAATTCTGACCCCTGCCAGTTTCAATCTGGAAGAGCATCGTAATGTCCTGCGGTCATGTATTACTACTTCGTAAGCACGTTAAAGACCCCAAGCTAGCAGTGGTACTGTACTGGTTAGATTTCTCCCCTACAGTGGAGAAGCCAGACGCCCATTGGACTGACATCTTCCCGCGGTCTAAACATAACAACATAATTCCTTTTGTTGTGGCGTTTCCAAAAAAACAAGATCAGTATATACATCGTCCTTATGGCCTTTTCATCATCGTCAACAACACCACCATCAATATTATAATCAAGATAATCATCAACAAAAAGCATGTGATCATCATCAACTTGTTGGCGTGTCCTCGTGTTTTTTTCTGTTAGCTACTTTATTCGCGCGTTTTTGCTTTTTTTTCTGCTCAGCGCATATGAAGCATGTCGCCGCCCAACGAAAAACGTTTATCCGATCATCATGCAGGATGACGTGCGGGGCTGTCTTCTACGGTCTGCAGTTTTCGGTGACGTCACTGGGAGGCGACCCTTACATCAACTTCGTCCTGGCCGCCGCCGCTGAGCTTCCAGTCTGTCTGCTCTGCTACAGCTCGGTGCGATGGTGCCGGAGACGCCGGACCATGCTCGCCATGTTTGGCGTAGCAGGTCTTTGCTCCGTTGCCGTCGGTCTCCTCATATTCGCTGGTAACCACGTCAAACATATCTGGCTCTACAGCGCTGCTTTGCCGGTGGCTACACTATGGTGGCGCACCATATACTTGCCGCCAGTTTTCCTTGCAGTGGGGTGTTTGGAATCCGTGTCTCCGATTAGTGTTTTTAACACGTCTTAAAAAGTGGTCCCTAAATGTCCGCCTGATGATGTCATAAAACTGTCATACTGCCCCGGTCGCGATTGTTGCGGTGTAACAGCAGTGGTGGTCGGATCTGTGACAAACCCCTGTTTTGTGGCAGGCCGCTCTTTAGTTTGTGGGAACCATGAGTTCCCCGTATTCCTATCTAGGTCTAACTCAGGCAGGCCATGGGTGCCGCCGCGCCGGGCCCGCGACCAGGGAAATACGGCCAGAGAACGCCGTATTTCCCTGTAATGGTTCTCCCTCGCTGCCCTTCTCGAGGGATTTGCCACTGGTATACACCCTTCGGGAACATCCATACCTGGACGCGTTTGCCCTATACGGGGAGCAAATCAATTTCCGACTACTCGGGCGCTTTAATTTCCCGCAGGCTATATAAAAGCCGGCCCGAAACAATGGCCGGAAACTAGGGGAAAACACTTACTCCACAAAGCACTGTCTTTTTTTTTTTTAGGCTATTCTTTTTTCGTGAATTCGCCTATAGCGGCAACGCGGAGTCCGATCGGTGATCCTGTCTGAATGAGGCAGCGCCGATACTTCGTACTTTATTGAAGGCAAAGCGTAATGGCATATCAAGCCAATAAACACACGGGCGTCCTGGGCTTTTACGTGGTAGCACCGCAAATGGGGAAACCCACAAGCTTGACTATCCACGGAAGCTCCAGCAGCCGGGAGTTTGGACGGGGCGACGCCAGTGACGCTCGCGTTCGCTCGTACCGTTTGCCGGGACTTTTAGCCCCAACCGCCAGGATCGCAACATGCGACAAGACAGGCCGGCTTCTGCGACGTCATTTGTTGCCACTTCGGGACCGCTTTTGATGTATGGGTAGGATACGACGCTAAACAAACCAGATGGAGACGCTTCCAGGCACTGCAGTGATAATACCAATGGTTCTGAATTCAAGTCAAGGTGGTGGTACTGCCAGTGGAATGTACCTTGTGCAGGTGCGATTTCCTGGACTAGCACAGTACCCATATCTCATGTGGGGAAACACGCTTGCTTATCCAGAAAAAGACGAGTATGCGCACTCAAAAGCAGATGCAACTTAACCAAAGCTTGCCTACTCAGGGAGTTTGGTATTTTCTGGGAGAAGCAATGTGATGGTGTTCGTTGCAGTGCTTTTGTCGTGTCAATAAAAGCAACGACTCTGATGACTTCACAACCTGGGTTAAGCCCATAAAAACGGCGTTAATGCGTCAGGGTTGGTAGAGTTGAGAGCTAACAAAAACATTCCTCCTGGTGGAGCTGTAATCGCGAAAGGTACATGCTCAGTCTAAACTGGAGTGACATAACTAGAACGCAAAACCGCACTTACAACAAACAGACAATTTTAAGTCGCCTGACGGTCAGTTCCTTCCTTCTGGTTGTCTCTTAGCACTGCCATTTTTTTTAAACTTAAAACACATTTTGTTTGAGCTTTAGACACGATTCCAATAGACTTGCCACCACGGTCGACCATTTTGACACAGGTTCGACGGTGGCATGGTTGCGCCAGTGCTTGGGGATCGTAGGCAAACTCGTGGCTTCGGCGTCTCTCACGGTCATCTGGATGTTCGCCGCCGAGGTGTTCCCCACCGTGCTGCGTACCGTGGGCGTCGGAGCATGCCTCGTGGGAACCCGCGTGGGCGCAGCCCTCGCACCTTTCATCGTAGAACTGGTATAGGCGCCTCCTTCGTACACTCTAAGCGCGTCTACTTTCTCGCATAGCTCTTTGGAGAGTCAATCGCTGCACTCTATTGGAAAAAGCGAATGACGAAACCGAAAAAAAAAAACAGTTCTGACCTAAGGAAAAAAAAAAAAACATGCGTTGAGGCATTGAGCATCTGTTTCACAACGCCAACTTTTTTTTTTTTAAATCTAAAATTGCCGCGATTGATTGTACCAAGTGCTTTACGGGAAAGCAGACACATCATGCTTCTTAGTGTTAAATAGCTATTGGTTCTCGTTGTAGGTTATTCTTTCTGCCTCTGTCCCTTCCGCCAGACACTACCCCTTCCTTAGTTCGCCCTTCTGTCAATCAATGTGTGACTCCTTACGCGCGCGTATGCCCGTGAAATCAGTGTCGTCTTCATGGTACTTTCACACTCACACAGAAAAGCTACACCAGCGAGGTGGTGCCTCCGATTATCCTGGGTGGCCTCTTCTTCTTGTCCGCCATCTTGATCCTCCTGTTGCCGGAGACGTTTCGGGTGGCACTTCCGGACACACTTCACGAGACGGAAGGACTCACGAAATCCAGGTGAGGAACTGTTGAGAGCCGGATGCTGATTCCGGGATAGAACGACCCTCTCAACAACCTAAGTCGCGCTCACACTACTAATACACCACGGCCAACTTTCTTGGGCATTCTTTGGAACAAACAGTTTTCAATTAAATATAACAAATTCTAATTGATTTGCGTTGTATGATACCCAACAATTACAGTCCACGGGAACATTACGAACTTTTGTCAAGACAAGCAGAAGTCAACAGATTGGTGAATGTGGTCCGCAGTATACAATGCAAAACAATTTGTAGAGACGCGGAATGAAGTTTGTATGCGTCCAAAAGTTTAATTACTGCTTATTGGTATTTTAAGACTGCCATCTAAAAATATTTCAAGGAAACATTTTGACGTTTGCTGCTGTTAAAACTGAAATTATTATTGCAGTGAATGCGCCGAGGTGTTTGATGTCCGACAAAGTTGGGGATGCACAAGAAAGACAGTCTGCAGAGACTTTTCGATATAGCGGTTCTGTTACATTGGCCATAAAAAAAAAGTATTGACTGCAGACGTGTTTGAAGAAGACAAACGTGTGAAGCAAACATGCTTAGAACATTCTTGACGTGTGTCCGCACATAATATTATGCTCATGTCTGCAGTGCTAACACCGTGTCCGTGTGCAGTTAAAAGCGGGACTGCAGGGAAAGCGTGACTGCCGCCGTTTTGCAAGAACTTGAACAGCTGCAGATTTATCTGGCTTTGGAGATAACTGTGTTTTGCAGTGTGTGTTAAGATATTTTTTTTCGCGCCGTACTTGTTTGTAGGGTGGACGAGAGTCACCAATGGATCTTTCTGCAATTAGTTCACCCCTTTTCTGTACTCTGCCTGTCAGAGTACGTCGATGCCCTTAGACACGGTCATCCATATCGCTCGTGAACCACATCCATTCCGCTCGTGGAAGGAACGGCATCCATATTTCTCTTGGAGGGAACCGCGTCCATCGTTTTAACCAGACACACATCACAGCCCACGCACTGCTGCTATAGAAACCCAGAGCGAAGAACAACCGGCGACGGTAAAGCGGCAACTGAGCACGCCCGAGCATTCCACCGCGCCACGGCGCAAGCACTGCGCCTCCTCCTCTCTCGCTCCACACCAGCTGTGCGCGTGACTAGAGAAAAACGAAAGGGTTCGTTTTGACGAAAACCCGGCGGTAATTGTCAGTTTGTTAGTGACGAATACACACACGCTCGCACTGTCACTTTTTCCGCGTCATTCTTCCGCCGAGCAGCTCCAGACTGGAATGGCCTTCCCCACCACATTGATGCCATCACCTGCCCATCAATCTTCTTCGGAAATGTTACCTATCATCTTTCACCATGAAGACTAGCACCTATGTTTGATTCTTTTTGTAACCCCACCCCTTATGTAGTACCCCCAAAAGGGTTTTTTTAAGGTAATAAAATGAAATGAAATGAAATGATAGAGAGAAAGAGGTTGATGCGTGCTGACGTCAGCGCTTCGGACCAATGGGAGCGTCGCACGCGTCACCCTCATCTCCCTTTTCCCCTTCTTCCCGGCGCTGACGAACGAAAGACACCGCCGGTTTTCGTCAAAACGAGCGTTCTAGTGCTAAAGCAGTAAAACGTGAATCACCCGAAGGCCTCACAGTTCCAACCGGCGTTTAAACAAGAGACTTATCAAGATGCTTCGAAGCGCTGAATAAGCTAAGTTCTTCATAGAAAAACGTAGGTTACAACTCAATGACATCTGGTGAGTTGATTTTCAACTTCATCGTGTCGTTCAGGATTTTCTGTTATGAATCCTTCGTACTTGTCAGTCCTGGATCGCCAGGACAAGTCGCAGTGAATTGGTGAGTTCTGAATCGGAGACGGCAGCGCCACATGTGTTAGTCACGTGGATTTATTGCCAAAATGGCGGCCTGGAGGCGGATACAGTACGACAGCAAAGCCATCTATGGTATGTTGCCGGTTAAGAGTGCAGGACAACATCCTCCCGCAAAGCCCTCCACTCTTTCCACTTTAACGGAGCGAACGCTGGAGAGGAGGCGAGGATGGGGCCTTGGCGAAGGGAGCTGGACCTGCACTCTTAACCTGCAGCAGCCTATAGTTTTAAAGCTAGCGATTTTCAGTAGCCAAGTCGGCATTTGTTGTTTAAAGGACACCGTGCATGTATCTTGTAGTTGGCACACAAAACAAAAAGGAACTTGATATTCTGGGTTGAGTAACACAACTAAAGCTTAAAAATATACGTGAATTTACACCACATCAGTATTTAAATAAGTATGAACAGCGTAACTTATACGAAGGTATTTTACAGAAGGTCTAAAACAATGTTTTCCACGCAGAGCTGGGGATTCGAGGAACAACACTGAAGCGCCATCTATCGCCGTCAAGCAACTACTAATGCCTCTCTCAGCTGAAGGTCCTGCAGGCATGAAAGACGAGAATGACTGAGAAAGCTGTCTGAGTTTATCTGATAAGATGGCTGGTGAAAATATATTCAATAATAAATTGAACGTCTGCCCTTTTCACGCATGGCAAGTGTCGTATTAGAAGATGCTAACGGCGGCGGCAGTGCAGGTAAGATATATCACCATTGTTTATGGTTCAACACTGATTGCAGACATATAGTACACAAATACCAAAGCAACAATTCCCCGTGAAAACCAAAAACAGTACTTGATAAGGAATTCCAATTTTATCGTACCATGCAGAATTCAAGAATTCGGAGTAAGCATCGAGCGGAAAAAACTTACGGAGATTCGCGTTTCTCTTTTGTTAGTTGAATGTTGATTCAAAATCTGTATAAAGGTAAAGTCACTGCTGAGTTTTGACTTGACTAACCACGTGTCATGCAGTCTTGTACACGTTAGTAAGAAAAAGTAATCGATTCCAATTACTATTACTCTTGGCTAAAAACTATTCGATTAGATTACTTGATTACTCGACGGCAAAAGTAATTGGACATTACTTAAAAAGTAATCGTTACTTTTTTTATTACTTTATTGTGTGAAGACGCATCTTTAGCGCTCATAACAATGAACTACTTCAAACCTGTATCTCACTTTTGCACAAGTATTGAAGAAAAACTGGCTCCCTCTTCGTGGTCGTTGCACCTTCACAATGCGGACACAAGCATAGAATTCGTTTGAAGACGTTTAATGATTTGGGCTTTCGCCAGTGTGTGTGTGTGTGTGTGGGGGGGGGGGGGGGGAGGGGGAGTGGAGGGGGTTCTAGATCTTGTTAAGCTTGAGCAAGGGTTGTCACTCAAAGTTTGCGTCGATCATTTTATTATTCACGTGTGGATGAGCTCGCATGTTATACAAAAGAGCAGCAGCTCCAGGATTTGAAACGGATCATGTGTATATAGTATCCATTAGCGGAAGAGATCGCCCCGACCACTTCTCAACTCGAAACATTAATGAAAAAACGGTTAAAGTACAGGCGAGCTGGTGGATATTTACCATGATGGAACTTAACCCGAGACTGGGGTAGAAACAGAAACTTAAAAGTAGAAGGGACAGAGACAAGTGAAGAAGAGAACGTCTCTTCTTCACTTGCCCTTAGCAAAAAGAGGCCGTACTTCAAACGAAGTTGAAATATATTTAGTACGAATATTCATTTTGTATTTATTCTGTATTATTTTGGCCGCATTCGAAATACGCGCGTAATGTATTCAAAATACATTATAAATATGAATCAAAAAATATTTTAGATATACCAAAAATATTATCTCTTCACACTCAAGATGCTATTTGTGCATTAAAAACCGGCTTCACAATTTTTTTTTTATTTAGATTGTGTCAGCAAATGGCGTCCCTGTGGTATTTGAAGGCACTACTAGATACATCTTACAAAGCTACATTAGAAACGAACACAAACACAAACACCATGACGCACTGAACAGCTCATTCACAGTCCCGTTGACTGCTCTAGAGCCTTATATAGCCTACATATTGAAGGTAATCATTTTTTCGGTGACCACCTCTGCGCTTATTAAGGTTCCAAGTATTCGATCTTCTCCTCGGGAGTCTGTCAAAGGGGAAACAGTGTTTTGAAGTTCGTGGACGATATCTCTTAGTAAAAGGCATTGGTACAACTAATAACAATTTGGCGCAGTTCTTAAAACAATATCCACACAAACGGCTCATAAAATACATGTTAGTGCTTCTCTGCGTAGCACCACTCAGGACGAAGCGAATCAAGGCAGTATCTTCACTTTAAAATACTGTAAACGACTTTATTTTCGTGAGGACCTAATTCTCGCAAAGTTCGCGAATCGCCTACAATTCCGAAAAATAGGTCCCGTGAACAATTCCGGCAAAATGCAAAAATATTAAAATCTATATTGCGATCCCAGCGCGTCGCGAAAATTAGAATTTGCGAATTATTCCAAAACTCCAACTTTGACCTAAATCGCGAAATATTGAGCCCGCGAAAAATAAATATTTTACAGTAATTGTTTTGCCTTTCCATTTTAGTAGTTGACTATTTAATATGTTAGTTAATATAACTATATTAAAGTCACTATTCACATCACGTACAATGGTGAGTATACACGTTCAGTGAATTAACATTGTGCTAACAAAACCACTCCAAACGTATCTGTTCACAGCACCTGCTGAAGCTTTCCAGCATCAGCAAATGTTGTAGTTGTAGTCCCCGAACCCCGTTTGTGATTGGTGTGCAAGAAACTGATCAGGTGTGTCCTTGGCAGAAAAAAGGAAACAATAACATAAACTGGGCTGATTTATCAGTGCGATGCTCCGCAATTCAGTTGACAAACTAATCAAATGTTGTATTTAGGCGCTTCAGTGTACTTCATATCTACTTGAAGTGAACTTCTAGAAGGGGAGCTTTTCAATATTTTGGTAGTTTAAGTCAAACTACCAAAGTATTGCAGTCAAAAGGTACTTAGAGTATAACACAACAGTATTTACGATTTTCAGGTATCTTAAGAGTATTCTGCACGTATTTTTGATTGCTCCATTTTTTAGGGTTGGAGTATATTTTGCATGAATTAAATAAATATTTCAAGGAATATACGTGAAAGGTATTTTGTGCCTATTAATTTAGTATTTACATATTTCAAAACGCATGAAGGGAACTTCAAATGTAGTTTAAGTAAAGGTATTTTAAAATGATTTTTAGAAGTATATTTTAGTACTAAGTAAAAAAAAAAGAAGTTTATATTTTCGGTCTATTTTTCGTGTACTTAAAATTATGAACTGTATTTCAAATACACTCAAATTAGAATGTGGTATATTTCAAACGTATTAGTTTTCGCTAAGGGTGTCTCTGTTCCTTCTACTTTTAAGTTTCTGTTTCTACCCCAGTCTCGGGTTAAGTTCCATCATCGAAACATTGCTTGTCACAAAGACCACGTAGGGGAAACGGGGAAATATTTCAGCTGCCTTTGTTATATTTTGCATCCGCTTTAGGCATTCTTCGGTTCTGGTTCTCCTACGGGCTGCGAGTAGGTACCCTAAGCAGGATTTTTTATTTATTTTATTTCTGTGTGTGTGTGCGTGAGGGGGCTAGTTTGAACGAAGGACTCACAAAGCTACATTCTGCTTCCTCGAACTTCGCCCTGAATGGCCTTTGTCACGCACTGTGGCTTTCCTGGGGCTTCCCACTCCCAGTCCCAGCTCGAAAAAAACAAAAAACGGACATTGCACAGAAGCTGTACATAGAAAGAGATTGACCTCGTTTCCTACAGCTCCTCAAAAATCTTTCTTTTTTCCGTTCAAAAAAAAAAAAGCAAATTTTATTTTTGTTTTTTCATAAAAAAAAGGCGTGTGCCCGGGGGGGGGGGGGGGGGGGGGGGGGGGGCCGTGGACAAATTGTAACGGTTACAAGTAATTTTATTACTTCAAAAGGTAATCAGATTACTCTTGTGATTACTGCCTAAGAAAAGTAATAACCTGATTACAAGATTACTCCAAAAAGTAATCGATTACAAGTAATTTGATTACTTGTAGTGCGTACGGTACAAGTCTGGTGTCATGTAAGGAATTGCAAAGTTGTACAGGTTAATCAAAACAAGTGGAAAAGTTGTGAAATTCCCAAACTATTCTGCATCCAGCGCTTGTTCGAAGCGGATGATGAGCAGCGAAGGTGTGCTCAATATAGGCAGAGGACGCAAAATAACCGTTTTTGATTTACCTGATCATGCGACCGTGTACGCGTATACTATATCTGTTTTCACCTTAAAGGGAAACTCCGGTAAATATTTTTGAATTTTAAATTACGAGTGTTTTCAACTAAAGCAGGGTCCCTGAATTACAAGGAATATTTTGTTTTCGATATTGTGTGTATAGTTTTATAAATATCGCGTGCTCTAAGTTTCGTTTCGGGCGTCTACGGCAGAACCGAAACTGTCTCCTAGATGAATGGCAACATTGATCATCAGCAGTTAGACCGCGACGTCACGTCACAAGTCTGCTGCGGTACGCGATACAACCAATCAACCGCAGCTCTACCGCGACGTGACGTCACAAGGGTGCTACGCCAGTGTTCCTTGACTAAAAGCTAACCCGCCTGCCGCTCGCTACAGAGCAGCTGGTTGGATCCCGAAAATCGGTTTTAGTAAAGTGCGCAACTTCACTTTGACGTAATATTTCGGCTCTGAAAAAAAGCACGAAAGGCCTCGTCGGCCTTTCGTGCTACGAAAGAGACACCAGTCATTCATTTCGGTGTCGTTTTCGACCCGGAGTGGCCCTTTAAAGGGATGCTGAACCGAAATCGGGATTCCACAAAGCACGGCGACAAAAGCGTGCGACGGTATGCTACAAACATCAAAACATCACTCATACAACAATATATGGAACGGATGGCCGTATTTAAAAAAAGAAAAAAAAGAAAGAAGCGCATGTGACAGATATGTTTACGTCTTGTTTCTCTGAGGAGAGGGAACGGCCTCGCGTCTTCTCCGCCTCGCCGCCTTGAGGGGGCAAAACGAAGAGAGGAGGAAACGAGATATCTTGACGTCACGCGCCTCGTCGGCCTCGTTCAAGCTCGACCTTTTTTTCCCAAAAATGCGGCCGTCGATTTGAGATATCGCCTTACGACTAGTGTTGTATAGATTGTAGCGTCCCGCCTGCAGCCTCCTGCATTGTTTTTTTTTTAATCCTAATTTTGGTTCACCATCCCTTTATCTTTAAGTCAGAGCACGGCCGACGCTACAAGTTGCTGGGGCCAATCAAAAAGCTCCAAAAGTGATACGTCATGGCATTCATCATCTTGTGCGAATGTTGACATATAGGCGAAATTGATCAAGCGCAGTGAACGCAGCGTGGGCGTATGATTTAAGAGAGAGACCCGAGAGAGACCAGACCGGTTTTTAAGCCTCTTGCGACGCCTTAGGACCGAATGCGCTGCAGCGGAGCTGGTCCTAAAACGTTGCAAGAGGCTTAAAAAGCGGTCTGCTCTCTCTCGGTCTTACTCGGTCGCAAGAGTGTGAACGGTCCTTTACTTAGAAGGACACAAAATATAATACTTTAACCGCGAAAAAAAATCCTCCCTTGAATTTGCGTGGACACCCTCGCCTTACGACAGCCTTTCAACTGCAGTAGAGAACCAGCCGCAATGTTTAAAATAACACCCCACGATAAGCGAGATCTAGCGAAACTGAAACTTGCTTTTGTTTTAATTTTATTTTGATGTAACATAATGCTGCGTTTGTTGCAAAAGCAAAAATGGCATCCAAATCATTAAATTATTTGCGATGTCGGGTTCGTCGTCGCAGTATCCTCAATCCAACTCGTTCCGCCAGACACCGGAACCAACCTGCACACGGTGTAGATGTCAGATGAAACTTCAGGGCCAAGGTTGGAATCGTTGGGTCTTTGGAAGAAAACAACAACAACAACAACAAAATTTGAGCTATGTGTGTTTAGACATGGCGATGTGGCAGAGGATACATTCTTATATGTTATCTCGCCAAAATGGAACACATTTCAAGATCTTTTTACGAGGAACTTCAAAATCAGTGTATATGGAAGGAGTTTAGACCATGGTAGTATGATCATTCTGCGAGCTGTCTAGGCTGCGGGATATGTTCCGGGCAAGCGCAATAGCTCTCTTCCGATAAACACCGTACGCCACCCATCCGCCTACAGCCAGGTGACTGCATATTTTCCCCCGGTCATACGCGATAGAAAGGAAATTAAAAACAGCGCGGAAAGACGAGGACCAGACAAAGAAGTGACACGGACGCAGCGCTACGTCCGTGTCACTTCTTTGTCTGGTCCTCGTCTTTCCGCGCTGTTTTTAATTTCCGAAGTATGTACCAACTCGCCCAAGCCTCAACTTTAGCGATAGAAAGAACGATTCCAGCAATTGCCTTCTGCTGGCTGCCATCTTTGTCCACGGGTAGAGTGGAACGTGTTCCCAGCAAGCACAGGAGTTCTTTTCTGCAGGCAAACAGACGCCGAGCACGCGTCCGCTGCACGGTGACTCGACACATTTTACCCGGATGATATGCGATTGAAAGGGGCATGCGTTCTGGACACCGTAATCTTTAAAGCCACATTCACACTCCTCATACATCATACAAAAAACATGGTATTTTCTGCAGCATAGCCTCCTCTATATTCACAAAGCCTGACAGTTCGACGACGGAGCCATAGAGCGCCCGGTCGCGGATTTGAAGCGGGAGGATCTGGTAGCAGAAAGCATCAAAGAGCCACTACTCGGGGAATCTGGACGTCAGCGCTGAGCTTTTGTAACGGCGAGGACCCGAAACACACTCGTTCGCTCGGGAGAAGTGTGTTTCGGCGTCTCGACGCAGCGGGGCGCCAGTCACGTGGCTCTCCTCTCATCCGTTGTCTGCCACTTCACCTTTTTCGTTTCGGCGGCCGCTTCTCGTGGCTATCTGCCAGGCTTTGTCAGTATATAGGAGCCTATAGCTGCAGGCATGATGACAAAATTTTCTGTGGGACAAGCCTGCGAAGCTCGCTTGCTTCGTATACATACAAGGCGAGGAGGACGTGTGAACCAGTACATTTAATTGGCACGCCTTGGAAACTTTCGATTTGAAACGCACGCACCTGAAACTAAGTACGCGAATGTCGTGTCGCAAGGAGTTTTATGCGTAATTTTTTTCAGAGCTCTACTCTGAGGGGGTGAAATAAAAATAAAGCAGAAACAGTGGCCGTGCATTTCATATGTCCTATATACCAGCCTGTTCGTCGTCAGCTCACCGGTTCGCGAGCGAGCTCCCGGGCGGCTTGCTGAACGCAACGACTCTAAAAACGCCTGAGTAGAGGCCGGCGACAAGCGGCATAATCGCGATAGGCAATAATCTGAACGAAATATATGAGCGATAACCATCCAGTGGGCATCCGACTAACATCCATTAAGGGATATTAAAAGTAAAATGCACGGCCGCTTTTTTAAAAATTATTTTCAATATTTCACCACCTGGGAGTTAAGGTCCCTACGCACATTTCGCGTTTGAGAGCGTTTGAGTGCGTTTTGTCTGCGTTGCGTCGAGAAACGAAAAGCAAGTCACGGGCACACATCTGTGCTTCGTATGAAGCGTGGAATCCAATTCAGTGAATAGTTGGGCACACGACATAAGAAGCAGGGATGTCCTGGTTTCTCGCAGCCGGAGCGTATACATCACCACCACCTGCGTGTGGAGGGGCTACCGCCAACTGCTGGTTGCAAATAAAAGTTGTTCACCACCACCGGAGCGTATAGTCAAACGCTCTAAAACGCTCTCAAACGCAACTGCCCGTAAGTACCTTTAAGCTAAAAAAAATAGACATAAAACTTCTTTCGAAAGAACGTTCGCGTGCCAAGCTTCGTGCAAATATGTACGATCAGAATGAGGATAATGCAAGGCGTGGAAACTGTGCTGGCCTTTACCGCCTCACCCTGTATGTATGCTTCGAACACGTGTAAAGGCAGTTTTTACAGCAGCACTCTAACAGGACCGTTAATCATAAAGAACCACGCTCCACACATTGTCTACAGACTGTCTCTTGTATGGTGTACGTAATAAGCCGCAATCACGCTCCTCATACATCATACAAAAATCACATTGCAGACATGATGACGTAATTATCTGCGAGTACACCTCAAGCATATCTCCGAAGAATGTTTTCTCCATACATGTTCCGAACATGTCTGGAGACAGTTTTGTATGACCAATCTGGCAGGACCATCAGACAAGGAAGAAACATGCCTCGGACAGCGTCTACAGGTCGTCTTTTTACTGATGCATCAGCGGCGAGACCGCGGCTTTACCGTTGATGTTATAGTTGGGGGTTCCTTTTGCATCGTCATCGCCTACCTCATATCCTCACCTGGACCGAGTAAGTTCCACGGTCTCCCGGATAGTGTCGGGCAGGGCGACCCGAAACGTCTCGGGCAGGAGAAGCACCAGGACGGCGGACAGCAGGAAGAGTCCTCCCAGAATCGACAGGGGCACCGCTTCGTTCGTGTAGTTCCGCTGAGAAAAATGATTCGGTCTCATCAGAAACGTGTAGCGAACAGACGGATTTCGTCGGTTGTTTTACCCAATCCGCCATCCTTTACTGATGCGTTCACCGCAATATTTATTTTTTCCTGTTCCTTTTTTCAGGTCGGTGGCTCAATATCACCTGCACGACAAAGGCATTCGCCCTTCCCTTTTCATCCCTAGCATCTTATTATCGCTCTGAAATCATCAAGATTGCGGCAGCGGCAGATATGAAGTCCGAAGATCGAGTCTTGAAGCAAGAAGCAGCGCATCGACCGCTTTGTGACATATATACCCTTGTCGAGCATGCAGCGTATTTGCCGCTCGGGTGGGTCCCAGATCCACCAATGACGACGTATTATGCAGGCCTTGCGTACTTGCACGTTCCACAATGTCAGTTGTTCCGCCCATCTAATTATCGGCACGCGAATTTCGAAAGGGGTGTATAAATGTCTTTGCCTCTGTACACACTGCCGAACGTCGAACTCTGGCGTTCGGTGTTCGAACGCCAGACGCTACGCGAGGACCGGATTGCGCTCTTGGTCGTTTTGAATTGAAGGAGGCAGCTAGCCTTTGGGTGTACCCGTTAATCCTCCCAATCATTGCTAGGCGCTCTGACGTCACAAGACGCTCTCATCCCCTCATCTCCCTGAGTTTATTTCCGTATAGACGTTTGTAATTGCGGCCTCTGGGCGCCGCCATCTTGGTGCTGGTGTAGGTAGATCGTGATCGTCTGATAGCCAAGCATTGTTGAGGCGTACCTACGGCCTTAGTAAGGCTTGACTATCAGACGACCTACCCGCACCAGCAGCAAGATGAAAGCGCCCAGAGGCCGAACTTACAAACGTCTATACACGTTTGCAAGAAAGGCTCCTGTCCGCTGCCATTTTGAGCGATGCTGGCGCCCCGTACCGTTTCCGCCATGCTGGGGTGCGCCAGGGGCACGTCAGTGGGGTGCGCGATGACAAGATGGTGCCGTTTGCTGCATCGCCGATGGCTAAGGTTAGCGGCACACTTACTGTCTCGGAACGCAGGAGGAGGTATCCACACAGAATCGTAGCATTACATATTGTAGGACGGGGCATCTTTAAGGGTTGGAGCTGACTCTATAACGATCGCAGCCTCTGTTCCTGCATATTGTGGAAGCCAGAGCTGCCTCAAGCGCAGCCATCATTGATGCAAAGGCCATGCGACTTGTGGCGGATTCTGAAGAGCGCCTTAAGACTTTAGATCTTTTTGAAATTTTTCGATTTGTTACCGGTTTAGGCATTTTATTTAATTATCCGTGCTCTTTCGCGGTCGAAGACGACACGTGTACGTTTTATAGTTATTTTTTTTTTAATTTCTTTCTGCGCTCAGTGGTGTGTGCTTCGGCGAGAGACGCTTGGCAACATTGTACGACAACCAGCGAACGTCCTGGCTGGAGAGTAGGTCCTCCTCACCTTGGCGCGCGGTTCGAGGTTAAGCCGGGATCCCACTTGCAAAGGTGCATAGACCAACCCGTTGCTTTCAAACAAGTCCGCGTTCGCCCACACCAGGTTTATGCACTGCGCACGTGCAGAGACTACATACAGATGCACGCGAGATGAAGCGCGTCCGCACGCGCCACGCTCCGACACCAGCGCCACCGCAGCAGCGCGACTCGGCGTGGTCCGGAGGTGCTCACCAGCTCGATGACGAAGGGCACCAGGGCCGAGCCCACGCTGGTGCCCATCAGGCAGGCGCTGACGCCCACGGTGCGCACCACGGTCGGGAACACCTCGGCGGCGAACATCCAGATGAGCGAGAGCGAGGCAGAAGCGAGCAGCTTGCCGCCGATGCCCAGGCATTGACGGAGCCACACCGTGTTCGAACCTGCTCCGCGCGAAGAAGGTATATACCGGTTGCAGAGCGCGATTTGGTGAGGGGCTTTTGGTGTTAACGAGTAACGCGCAAGACGGTAGTGACGCCAGCTGGGCTACAAAAGGGCGTTCGCCCAATCATGTATCTGAGAAAAACAGCGAAGAGCGTCGCCCAAAAGCCGCGGCCACATTTCTAGTACATCAAACAAAAGACAGTGTGCAAACACTGTCTGAGGCGCTTTTTTTCTGCATGAATGAATGGAGGTTAAAGACCGACGACCAGTTCGCGCTTTCCACTTTTTCCTCGCTTCCCCCTCTCCCCCCTTTTACCCTGTCCACCGTTGCCTCTTTCCTCCTCCCTCTCGATGGGGAGGATCTTCTGCCTTGCAGAATCTCCAGTCTGGTCGTCCGCCTTTAATGACTATACCCTTTGTAACGGGTGGTAGCTTGCGCCACCTAACCTAAGTCTTGTACGACTGTCTGTCCCGTTACATTGGTCACACAAAGCCTGTCTGCAGGAATGCTGCAAGCATGTTTGAAGCAAACATGCGTCAAAGATGCTTGAGACGTGTCCGCACATAATTTTGTCGTCATGTCTGCAGCGAACTTCATGTCTTTTGTTTGATGTATGAGCAGTGCGACTTAGAATTTATTTCTCGTTATTCAGCATGCTTAACGCTGAAACATGCTGAATGAGTGAAGCCGTGTTTTGATGTATGTTTCTAGTACAACTATAAGTTTTACTTTGAACAACCCAGAAGTCTTTTGACGTGCGGCCGAAATCTGGGGATTCACCTGCACTGTCACTCGAAAGTCGAATGATTGTGGCTCAGGCGGCTCTGGAAAGATATAGATTTGATCGCGAGTTTTAAAGTTTTAAAAGCTTAACGGCACGAATTAGTGCAAGTCATCAACCTCGGAAACTATTAAATCGTTCATTTCTTAACAACCAGTGATATCAGTTGAAGCTTTGAATCCATAGCACCCGCTAACGCATGATACTAATGATAAATGTTTTGGCGACAAATGCGGCAAAAAATGATGTCAAAACAGGCGACAGAGAAGACATATGACATAGCCGCAATGTTAATAACTACTCTTAAAAAAGCGACGGCAGAGCACACGAATGAGCGTCAGGGCGGACAGGTCAACAAGCCAGAGGACGCTCCCGCCTCCAGCACGCTTTGGTTACCTTGCGGGCTTTGGCGGCACGTTCCGCGGAGTCTTATTAAAGGGGCGATGCAACTATTTGTTTACTTCGTGCAAATAGCCTTAGAACAAATCCCTGATTTTAAGAGCCTATGAAACACTCCTTCGTTTTCCACCGCACGCAACAGAAGTCACAATAGAAATCAAAGAATAATGAGTAGGGTTCACCCCCTCAACTCGCAGCCATCGCAGCCAGAACAAGCGGCCGTCCACACAAAGACCTAAACAGACGCGAGGCTTTTGAATTGAAGCCCATACAAACACAGGCTTTCCTAAACGTGTACACCACTTTCATCTCTTCTTTCCTCGCAGCTACCGAGGCACTTGCTCGGGCTGCAACTCCCCGAATCCCACATTCTGTCACTGTAACTGGGCCTGTCCGACTGCACTCGGAGAAGGGATTCGACCAATACCAAATCCTTCCATATCCTCCTGGGAGACTGCCCTATTCGGCCCGGGCCCTGAGCAACAGCGAGAGCTGATCGCTCGCCCTGGACTTGGCGACCTGAACATAGGGGGGCCAGGTTGTGTGTGTGTGTGTGTGGGGGGGGGGGGGGGGGGGGGTACTCACAAATTAAAACTAATTAAAGTTTTTACCACCACCAACAGACGGCCACGTGAGCTGGAGCCAATTATAAGCCGCCAATTTGATCATATGCACGCGCTGTGGGTGGCAGAGCACAGGTCACGCGCTGAGCTCCAGACATCGTTATGGTTCGGCTATTGTCGTCACTGCAACGATTGGACATGGGCCATCACCCGAATGCTTGTCGAGCTATTGATTATCACCAGACCAAGTCCAAGACCAAGCTAACGCAATGCTCGGGTCCAATCTATGAGCCGCATTCAAGCATCGTCGGGGTACTGCGCCCCCCCCCCCCCCCCCCCCCCCCCCCAGCAACTTCATCAAGTTTTGCGGAAGAGAGATTAAAAGAAAACGCTCGCTTTAAGAAAGTTCGCTCTCGAAATGGAGTATCTACTGTTTTTCTAACCTCTAAACGACTATAAAATAATAAAAGCCAGTGCACAGTTTGGGCCTCCTCACAATGAGGTCGAACACAGACACAAATTGGACACGAGCGCCGCGTCAGCGTTCAGTTGGGCCTCGTGTTCATTCAATGCGTCAAAGGGCGCCTAGTGTCAGGTTCGGGCTCAGCCAACACCTTCCAGAAAGCTTTCAAGCCTGCGCGTCACGTGACATGACGTCACTTCCCGGAGGCCTGGACGGGCGCTGATTGGATTCGAGAGCCGCGTCAACCTTCGCGTGGGACTATGATAGGAAACGAGTCCCACGCGAACGCTGACGCGGCACTCGCATCCAATCAGCGCCCGTGCAGGCCTCCGGGAAGTGACGTCATGTCACGTGACGCGCAGGCTTTGAAAGTTGCCTAGGAGGTGTTGGCTCAGCCCAGTTGTTCAGTTGGCGCCATTTTAGCGCAACAACGTTATGCGGAGGTAGTGCACGTTGTTCACAGGCTCTGATTATTCCACATTACCCACTTTTTGGAATATGCGGTGGGATAGAAAGTCTACAAGGAAATATAAAAATACTGTAAGTAATTTGCGTTTTATGGTACCCAGGAAATTACAGTCATTGGCAGCATTACGATCTTTCAAGAAAAACATAAATTGGTAATTTTGTAAATGTAACCCATGGGATTTAATGAAAAAAAAATGCAGAGCAGTGGAATAAAAATTATACACGTCCAAAACTTTACTTACTGCTTATTTACACTTTATAACTGTCATTCACAATACTCCCGGGGAACATTGCGATGTTTGTTGTATTTGAGTTGAAATTCTAATTTTAGTCCATGCTTCGGGGCGTTATTAGAGAGTTTTAGTAGATCGTTCCCATGACTCCGATAACGATACCCGATACTCCGCCACCGCCTCCCTTGCGCATGCATAGTACCGTTATCGGGGCTATCGGAGGTATCGGAACGATCTACTAAAACTCTCTAATGTGCAAGAAAGCTGGGGACGGATGGTCTTGGTTAGGATCGCTGGCGTCAAATCGTTCCAAGCCGTTACAACCGAACTTCCCGTAAGTGGTTGGCTGGAGTGCGAGCATGAGCAGAGCAGGTGTGATGCTTCATTTCAGACTAAGTCCAGACGCAGCCTCCGCTAAACCAATCAAACAGTATCAAAAGCGCAAGTCACTGAGCCTTCCCGCACATAATGGATTCAGCGATGCTAGAAAACGTACAGAAGAACGACGGACATTATGTTGGTACGCTTTTCACGCTGTGTGATTAGTCCCATCAGCTCGTAGCGTCGGCTACGTCCTGACTTGAAGGCCCGCTTACAGTATCGTCTTCTGCCGGGAAGAAAATCGGTTCCCTGTTTTCCTCTTTCCACCTCCTCTTGCCCTCTTCTCTCCTCCTCTCCCTACAGGACTGGGTCTCTGAGCTACTCTCTGCAGAAAGGAGGAGGGTGTCCAGTTTTCTCGAGTGGTAAGGGCGATTCGACGTCATGAGAGACAGTTTCCTCTCTGGCTGCTCGACCGTTTTTAAGATGAAACAAAGTATAGGTCAGCTCCGCCGCCGCTGCCTCTCCTCCGCCAAGGTCGCGACGATCTGACACCAGTTGGAGATGCGTTGCGGGCACCGTGCAATGACCAAGGCGAGAGTCGGACAACGCGTGTTTCTTAACATGATTACCGGCGAATAGAAGGAGGCCAACGGCTATGGAGCAGGCGCCACCCAGAGCGAAGGTGACGAGCATGGTCTGGCGTCTGCGGCACCATCGCACCGTGCAGTAGCAGAGCAGACAGACCGGAAACTCGGCGGCGGCCGCCAGGAGGAAGTTGATGTAAGGGTCGCCTCCCAGTGACGTCACCGAAAACTGCAGACCATAGAAGACGGCTCCACACGCCGTCCTGCGCACAGAGATGGCCGCCATTTCTAAATGGCTTCTATACCTCTAGATGGTCACCGCTTTTATAAGGAGCATTCACTGGGCGCCATATTTGTGGGTGATTTCTAGAGCGCATGCTCTGAACGAGCCCAGAATAATAGGTTGCTAAGACCGGCAATCGTGAGGGTGCGGAATGCACGTTACAAAAAAACTGTGGAAGCTCGCCATCAGGACGCGCTCAGCAGTCGTGCACACAGATATGGCCGCCAGTGAATACTACCTATAAGGATGCCGTTTTCAGTGCATACATTTATAGGGCAAGCCATTGAGTCGCCGTCACACTCAACGTTACTGAAGCAAGCTCAGTTTCACAGCTCCGCCTGCAACGTGGGCTCAGTGGCGGTCACGAGAACTAGCAGCGCTGCAGTCGAGTCTTGCTTCCGGATTGTCTAGCCCACCAACTTTGAATAGCAATACTTGAGCTCGGGCGAGTTGTTGATTCATACTAACACTTCACAGCGCAAGGAAACAGACGCACACAAAAATAAATTCCAAACGCTAAAAGAAAGAACACTGACAATGCGCTGACTCTGAAGGAAGAAAAAAACAAGAAAAGAAAGCTCTCAACGCAGCGGTAACAGACAACGCGCGAGACATGGAAGCAAGATCCGACTGCAGCGCCGCTAGTTCCCGTGACTGCCACTTGGGCCACTCGCCTCTGCAGGCGAGAATAGGGAGCTGCGAAACTGAGCTTGCTCCAGTAACGTTGGTCACACTGCTCGCCACTGATCTCTATTGTAGTAGGCTGGATCGCGGACCGCGGCCTCGGCAGCTGGGCCGTGCGTCACCACCGGCGGCCATTGATTGACACGAGCGCATGGGACTTTATGGGAAGAACGAGAAAAGTGCCGTTTTCCCCGTTTGTAAGCTTGTGTCGGCGCTGAAACTTTTTGGCTGCTTTTCAATAAGCCCGTCAAAGAACTTGCATACAAACATTATAACTGACAGCCCTCGCAGTTCTTATAAATACATATTTTGTGATCGAGAGTGACTCCGCTGTAGTGCAGCTCAATGAGGCGAGAGTTACCTAGATTTACCGCGGAGTCGATGGCGGTTTTGTTGAGTTGGGTTTAGCGGCAACAAGCTCGAAGGCTTTGCGACGCGGAATTCGCTCACTCCCGGAGAGCCGCTTTCGAGATGGAACCTCTTTGTCATTCATCAACTTCTGGGCTTCCCCGAGGACGGCCTCATTGACGGCAAGTTCCTTTGTTTACTCCACTAGGGGAGTTAGCTTGCCAGCTCAGCCGTAGATGCTCCGGTACGTTTGATTGTTTTAATCGGCGTTCGAACGTTTCACAAATACCGATTCGATCTCCAAACACCCGACATAAGGATCGCAGCGCACCATAAAATACTCGCCTCCGAGCACAGCATACATGCTTCAATAATCTTACTTTTGTGCGTTTCTTGAGTGTATTGCTCAAGCAATGGCCGCCGGTGGCGACACCGACGGGCTCCCGTTCCGCGATCTAGCCTACTACAATAAAGATCAGTGCTGCTCGCACATCATACAAAAGACACGGTGTTCGCTACACATGTAATGATGATGATGATGACTAATAAAAGAAGTATTTGCGGACATGCAGCATGCTCCAAGAACGCATGCTTCAAATATATCTGTACAGTTTCTGCATGACAAATGTTAATCCTGGAAGGAAGAACACACACCTCTGACTGCCTGCAGACTGTTTTTGTACGATGTATTAACCGTGTGAGCGTGGCTTTAAGGTGTTTCTGTCCATGCTCATATGTAGCCTCAATAGAGAGTGACGTCACGTTGGCACGTGACGTGAACCTCGTGCACACATGACGTTACACCGTGAAGTCAGGTAACACCATGACATGCCGTTGTGACGTTACGTCACATGACATCACGTGACAACCTGACGTCGTGTGACATATCAACATCGGTCTAATATTATGGATTTGTGAGTGCAGGATAAGTTGACAACACCTCGTGCAAAAAACAAGTCTCCACTATCAGACAAACGTGAGTACCCCAACACCTCGAACAAACGCCCACGTCCGAAATTTCTTTCGGCTCATAATTCTTGTAACGCAGATGTGCGTGACAAAGGCAGCTCTCATATAGTATTCCAAGGTTGGTGGAAAATACCACGTCAGATGTTACTTGCCATAATACGCAAACGACGGTCGATCCATACAGGTAACAACGTACAGTCGGGGACAAAAGTCTCCAGGACACGCGAGCTGCGACTGAAACGCATTGCTCTGCCATCTGCCGGTGGGTCGCCTGGTTTCGAGATCACAGAAAAGCGCATGCGCGTCCTATTGTGCCTGCCAACATGTGCGCTTTCCCGCTCTTCTGCGGCGCGGCGCCTAACTCGGAATCGGGCGCGTGGTACCGCCTCGGAGATAGCGCTTACTGACATGGCACCTATCAAGCAAGAAGTCACGGCATCTCAACTGAGCGATAAGCTCAACTGGTTATAAAGCAAGGTGCGCTGACACGGCGAAATGCGGCGAATGCCCCAGGCGGTATCTCGAGTTTCGGAATGTTTAGCAGACGCTCGTCAGCCGCCAGCGCTATCTTCGAGCCGGTACCACGCGCCCGATTCCGAGTTAGACACTGTGCCGCAGAAGAGCGGGAAAACAGACATGTTTGCAGGCAGAGTAGGACGCGCATGCGCTTTTGTGTGATCTCGAAACCAGGCCACCCGCCGGCAGATGGCAGAGCGATGCGTTTCGGCCGCAGCTCGCACGTCCTGGAGACTTTTGTCCCCGACTGTACTTTCAGAAACTCTGGGCAAGGTTTCGGGGGTGCTCGCTTATTGTTGCACTGTAGTCGTCCGCATGCGATTCTTGAAGTATGAAGCGTAAACTGTTTGTGTTACAGCTAAGAAAGTTCGGCATAGTATGCGCGTGATATCATGACGTTGAAGTGCATGAAGTCTACTTATGGTTGATATTTTCTACATCACCAGCAAGAGCACATGATGCGGGCGACAAGATGCGATTTTCGCTTTTATACTCACGAGATGTAGATGAGGATGATGCTGTATAGTCGAACTTTTGGGGTGCTCAGTAGATCAGAACACTTCACTTGTCCGTCCTCTTCGTTTTGCTGGAGCGGGGGCCAAGAGAAGAAGGTACGGTCATACTGCAAGACATCCTTTGTAACAACTGCTACGATATTTTTGTGTAAATAGGCTCAACCTGGCGTCAACTATCATGTGACTAAATTTCTGTTTCCTAACACTGTAGTAATTATTTTCATCAGGATTTTGTAAATACGTTTACTTCGCTACTACCCAAATGGTCGACAAGGCTCGGCCTACAACACCTGGATACTGACAAGGTCTGTTTACTCTCCACCATGACGTGTCATTTTCGATGCGTTATCACGCAGCCCGGCTGTTGATTGACCCCTCCCTCTCTTTCACTTATTTTTTAAAATATTTTAACTGATCTTAATAGCGGAGCGAACATCCAGCGGTGTTTGGGCAAAGAGTGTGACTGTTGATGTAGAGAGAAAACCGTCTAAAGGACTTGTATCTATGTGGTGTTCGTATGACCCGGGGGCCACGAAAGCGTCATGTGGTGCTCAGATTTGTTCACTTACGCCGCTGGAATAAATTTTAGTTGCACCACAACTCATTCAAGCGCTCCTGTCGACGCCTCAAAAAGGTTCTTTGGGACAATCATGCGAACCGAGTACCTCTGTGATCTTTTTATAGAGCTGTTCGACGACAGAGTCCACGTCCTTGGTGTCAAGCTTGTTGGCAGCTCCTGCTCGGCGGATGACCTTACGCGCCTCCTTCAATCTGCCCATCGCAATCAACCAGCGCGGAGACTCCGGAAGGAACCTGTCGACGAAGACAAAACAATTTGTTGTTGTGGTGCAATCAGACAAGAACCTGCTCTCTTGGTCGTTCTTTTATCTTCAGCTATACATGAGGAGTTTTAGTTGCCGAAGAAAGTTTCCCGAACTTAGGGAGGCAGAGACCGGGTGCAAATGGTGTTACAATTGATTGACTTTTTGAGCTCGAAAGAGAGAGCCTAAGCAAAGGTGATGGTACAGAATTCGAGATATCTGAACAAACGAAAAAGCGAACGAGATTGAGGCCACGGCCAACGGACGATTGAGCGCGGCAAGCCTCTTTAGATTCAATTGTAAATACTGTAAATAAGTTAGTTCGCTTAAATTAACGTTACCATGTTCAGAGCTTATTGGCAACAATAATGGCTCGGAATCACCCCTGGTGGCTGGTTGATTCGTAGGGCTGTTTCACAGCTTTGAGTGTGATTAACAGCGTTGAAACCGCTTATCATCGTACATTTTATTGAGCTTTTAAATCTTTCGCTCGCCTAACCCGTAGCTTCTTTGTTTGTCAGAACGGCAAGCTCTTTGATATCAAGTATAGTTTCGGTCCTTCACCGCAGCAAACATGGAAGTAGAAGCTGGCAACCAACATCTGTCGTAAATGTCTGTAAATCAAGGCCTTATAAAGGACTATGTTTGCAGATTACGTCATGGCTAGTAGATCCTCAATGTGTGTCTCTGCGGGACTATGGTGCACGGAACGCGACTCCGAGTGGTGTGTTTACCGCGTCCTAAAAAAGTGGTCCCCCGATTTTCGCTTCAAGACGCCATAGAGGTGTCCCGATGTCCCCGCGCCGCGAACCCTGCTCTGTCACAGCGGCAGTGGTGGATGCGGAAGACGCCTGTTCTGCTGCAGATCGCTCTCCGGCTTGGCAGGCCACGGAAGCTTGAGCAGCAAGGAGTTTAGACTCCGCGACTGATGTCACTGGATCCTGGAAAAGTGGCGCCAAGCTTCCCGCGTGGTCGCCATTCTGGCTCATGGAATGAGCAGTTTCTCCGTGACCTTTCCGTTCTTGGTGAGCCGGTCTACATTCCCTGGTGACGAATCACTTTACAGAGACGTTTCTTAAATACCGAGATTTTGTTAATTACACACCGGCGAAACAAGCGCACATCTTTGCACCGCCACCATATGCGGCGCCGGTGCTTGGCAGCATTGAAAATTAACGAACAGAACGCAAGGGCGCAAGGGAGCTGATGTATTCTGAACATTTTGAAACAACCCGAGACTGAGGGATTACGAAAGTTGACACCAAGAGAAGAAGAACATCCTTCTCTTACCTTCGCTTCTCCTTCTTGGTGCCGACTTCCGTATTTCCACAGCCTCGGGCTGCTTCCAAATATTGACAGTTTTATTTCCTGTCTTTAAATACGAAACAAGAACAATACCGTTGTAGGAGGTCTGTGCAGGTAAGCATTATTGGTATGTGGATTGCATGCACACCACCAAAGGCGCTTATATTGGCAAGAGACGCTTTAGTACGATGATGCTCCATGGCGGTTTGGTGCGACTTGTGCAGAACGACTCTTTCGAAGCTTTGAAGATTTGAATGGACCAAAATGGCAATTGCCATGGCAAATAAAACCGATCGGTTAAATGGCTGTTTTTGGAAACCATGACAACTGAGACCGATCAGCCAACAGATGACCAAACCTTGAGAGGTTTGGTCGTCAGTATGATAGTATCTGTTTGTATATGGCTAGCAGGCAGAAATTACAATCGCGCTACTTTCCCGGGATCCGGTGACTTTATTCGCGACGACAGCGACGCTCACGTTCGCTCGTACTTTTTGTCGGGAAGTTTTTGCACCAACTGCCAGGATTGCAACATCCGACAGCACAAACGATACTGCTTCTGTGGAGTCATTTGTTGCCACTGCTGGGCAACTTTGGGTGTATGGAAAGGATAGGACGCTAAACACACCAGTCGAAGTATGGTTATTGGCACCTTATAGAAGGACTCAACTTACCAGGCCCACACGGCGAGGACGACGAGAGGCACGGTAATGGCGGCCTGCAGATGCCTCCAGTCTTGTAGGATCCAGGCAAGTCCCGGGAGTGCCACAAGCCCGAGGGCAAATCCGAGGGCGAAGGTGATGGACGCCGACGTCCTCTCCTTGGGTCCGATCACTTCCATCACTGAGCAACAGCCATGGCGACATGACGAAGGAGAAATAAGAGCTCGCCCATATCGCCCGTATTCCGCTACTGATTCATCCCGCCCTGTATAAATATTTACATCGCTTATCTCTCAGACCAATTTGAAGGAAGATCCATCGGGAAATCCTTACGGAGTGCGTTAGCATGACCCCTGGGAAACGCCACACACCTCCTCCTTCGAAAAACGCTGACGCTGACCCCTTCACTTTCTGTTTTGGCTTTCTCATTTGACTCCTTTATTTTTTGCTGCATCTTTCTGGCTTTCTTACAGGGTCAGTGTTAGCGTTTCCCGAAGGAAGAAACTCTAACACTGACCCCGTAACAAAGCGTTTCCCAAGGTTCATGCTAACGCATTTCCTAAGGATCCACTAATAAATCTTCCTTTACTTTTGGGCCGCCTGCTTGGACCAGAGCTGGTACTTGGTTCACACTCCATTTTGTAGCACCAACCAAGACATAGGCCCTCCGCACACCTGCAAATTCAGACTCGCCCCAGCATCCACGCGCGCATTGACTTCTGCCCCGTGACATCGCATCCCTCTCGCCTTTGTCCCTTCCCTACTCTCCCCTCTCTACGCGGTGTGCTACCCTTCCCACTGTCTTGTCCACAGACGGACGCCGTCAGCTTTTCCCTGTCATACGGGTACTAATGCTAACGCATTAAAACAAAATGTTGATTCACGCCGCTATGTTCGGATGCCTGAAGTATGATACTGCGCGATAGAGATCAACTGCACATGGTCAGAACGCGTTCCACAGACCAGCAGATGGAAATGGCGTTTTGTGGAATGGTCTATGAGCTTTCTCAATAATTGTCTTCGGCATGCTGTCCCTTTTGTCTACTGGTTGTGCAACGTGATCAGAGCAAGCGCAGTAGATCTCTGCGGTGGAATACCAGATGAAGCGCATACTTGTCAGTTTTCGCCCAGGTAGTAAGCGCTGGAAAGGTGTCAAAATATTTTTTCGCCCAGGGGATAGCGCTGGAATGGTGACAGAAATGATTTTTCGTCCAGGTGATAGCGCTGGAAAGGTGGTAGAACGTGAATGCTGACATGGTTACCTGATATGTTTTGATTTCTTATTTAAGTTATTTTAAGACGGACGCAGGGCATCTTGAAATGATTTTGTAAATTCTTTGCCTCCTCTTTTGTTGCGCCGGAAATGTTCTAGACTATGCCTCTTTTACAAAATCTATCATTCGAATCCTAACCTAAGAGAAAGGCTACTATTGAACCCATCTTACATTTCTTCACGAGTCGATCATCAGTTTAAACATGACGTTAAAATTCCGAGACTAGAAAGGAAACTTGAAAGAAAAAGGAAGGAAACTTGAAAGAAAAAGGAAGGAAACTTGAAAGAAAAAGGACAGAAAAAAGGGGACAGGACAAACGTCTCAAACTCAGCTAACAAATTTTATTCCGTCCACAGCTTTTATAGCCACCTCCCAAGGTCACCGCCAACTCGCTCCATAGCCTCCTCAATACGGAGACAGCCTGGCGCGTCGCGAGAAAAGACGGCCGCCGTAAATGGGAAAGGAGGGGCGGAGAAACGGGAGCGGAGAGAACCTTGCCTGCTAGCGCCCCAAAAGAGCGAGCGGCCAAACACAGAAACAATCTTTTTTTTTCTCTCTCTCTCTCTTTTCTTGTCGCTATCATGGAGAGGAGAAACTCAACGTCCACCCTTTCCCGTTTCTCCCTGCGCCCTTTCGAATCGCCGCGCCCGTTTCTCCCGGAGTACGAAAACGACGGTGACGAAAACACAAAAACAAGCGTGGTTCGGGGAGCGGCCGCTCATGACCCAAGCGCTCGCTGTCTAGGTCTGCCCTTTCTGCTCTGCGCTACCATATTGCTCACCGTTCGGCGCGCTCCTCCTCTCCTTTTTCCTGCGGCCGCGCGCCCTATGGCTCCGTCGTCGATGTGCCAGGCTTTCTCCGTATTAGCCCCGAGAAGTTCGCGTGGCGCCCCCTTACGGCGAACCGGGATGACGTCACGGCGAGGAGAGAATTTTTCCCCGACTCGCCCCGCTCGGCCTGTGGAGGCTGCGACGACGCTAGCTGTCGGCGCGCTCGTTTCTATTTCATTTTTTTTTGGCATGTTTTTCGTAGGAAGTGTCAATTTTTATATGTGCCTTTATTGGGGTATGGCCTGTAGCTAGAGGTGAAACTTCAACCAACATTTTAAGCATGCTTGACAGGGCAGGCAACGCATGAATCGCAGCTGGTATATGAAAATAAAGAAATATGGCCACAATTGCAGGAGCATCACTATAGATCTACATCTCGCACAATAAATGCTGTTGATGGTCTGAATGAATTGGCAGGTTATGTGTACTATTTTTTTTTGTATCTCTGCTTTTAAACAAGATCGCCGAAGCAGAAAAGCTGCATACTCCTCGAGCAACATGCTAAATACAGTCTGGGCCATGGGGAGAGAATCACAAGTAAGACAGCCCAAGTGCAGGAGCAAAGTAAAAAAACAAGGAACATTTATTATATACAGTGCTCGCATTTAACCTTTGCTGGATTCGGATAGTATTTCAAAGGACTACACGGGTGGTATTTGTGGACTTGTTTATATCAACCCTCAAGAAATGTATAACAAACATAAGCGAAGATGTCTAGCTCGTTATTAGTCCCTTAAGCCCTAAAATTGAGACTTTACTTAAATCGAACTGCCCCGAAGCTAAAATACCAGAAGCTTTCTCACGCAGACTGTCGCCCTTCACAGGTTTCACATTTTCTGCTACTAGTGCTGCATCTACCGCTGGACAGACGTTCGAATGCTTGCTTTTACTCCTGTTTTCCTCTGTTGTCAGAGAGTCCAGCTGTAGGGAGTTTGGAGGCTGAGGAAGCTTTTGGGGACCTCCAGCAGTGTCTCTTTCAATTGGATATGACAATTCAGACTAAACGGTGTATTTTTTTTAATATCCAAGGCTGGAATAAAGAATGTCAGGAAAAAGTATAAACATTCCAAATTACGGCACCATTGCTGTGCATATTTTGGGCAGTTCAATACATATCATACAGGCAATTAACTGGGGGCACTTCGGCCGTTTTTGCTGCTACCATACAAACTAATTTTCAGTAATGTTGCATCTTTAAGAAATATGCCTGCATACGTGTATAAACTAGATAATTAATTCACGAAGAAGCTACATTTACGTAAAACGGACCTGTTCCACGAGCACTTCAAAGATCATCAGATGCAGGGTCTTTAAAACATCTGCGAACCAGGGCATGCAGAGTGGAAGCGCAGAGCCGGGGTCGCGAGCTAATTTGCCGACCACCCAAAGGCCCATGATATAAATGCCACTTCAAATGCCTTGAAAGCGGGATGTAATATCGTCCTAAATCATGAACAGGCAAGAAACAGAATTCCAGCGTCTGAAACACTTGCGCCACCGCTTCACCGACCCTTCGCAAGATTGCCTTGTGTCGTGCGGACGGACGGGGAGGTTCATCGGCGGAATTGCCTCCTCCGATAGCTTTCGGGATTTGTAACCCAATTTTAAAGATAAAAGGGGCAAGCAGGTTTTTAAAATGTACGGAAGCGCGTCAATATCGGCCTAACTCAACGTTTTGTACACCGGGTACACGAAGTCCAGCTCCTCGGAGAGCTTCCGAGACACAACACCAAACCGGGAAACCGGTGCTGGGAAGCGAGCCGATGCGAGGTCGCGGAGCGGAGTACTCCCCCTGACGTCACGGTACACCTCACCCAATCAGGGCGCTGCGACCGCAGCGACGCTTGTGTTCGCTCTCGGGGCTAATAGAGGAGGCTATGCTCGCACCGATACGCTTCCCCCTTTCCACAAGGACCTTCTATACACCAAGAGTTCACCATTGTACCTTGTAAGGACGTTCTGAACAAAAGACAAAAGAACAACAAACGTCATACGTGGTACTGGACAGGTTGGGTCGTCATTTGGCGGAGTTGGAGGCGGACGTCGGATGTTTTGGCTTGTCTCTACGCAAGAACTTCATCGACCAGGTTTTATTCAATCATCTTTCAACGAGAGGTATACTTTGGAGAACGAAGAAAAAGATCCTCAAGATCTACCAAGAAGGAACCACCAGGAGGATCCAGGAGCTTCGCGGTGCCTGTGACAAACTTTGGGACCTCATATTGGGGAAAGACATTAACCACCAAAAACAGTTTCATCAATATTTTGAGCGTTTGTTGTTCTTTTGTCTTTTGTTCAGAAGGTCCTTACAGAGTACAATGGTGAACTCTTGGGGTATAGAAGTTCTTTGTGGAAAAGGAGAAGCGTATCGGTGTGAGTTAGCGGTGACCTTGGGACGTGGCTATAAAACCTGTGGACGGAAGAAACTTTGTTAGCCGAGTTTGAGACGTCTGTCCCGTCTCCTTTTTCCGTGTCTTCTTACACTCTTTCTTTCAAGTTTCCGTCCCAGTCTCAGGATTTTAACATCATGATCAACATACACCAGCTCACCTGATCCTTGACAATTTTTTCGTTAATCAGTTTAAAGTTGGAGTCCCTCAGATCCATACCACTGCCTATCTCGATTCATTCATTCCCAGAATATAAACAAAGTGGAACCACTTACCGTTAGTTTTAACATCAATATCATCACTTGATTCGTTTCAAACGACTATTACGAATTATGTTTTTGAAAATGTCTCGTGGCTTTCTTTTTTTTTTTTTATTGCTTTTGGTTTTTGCCTTTGTATTCTTTTCCTGTGTGTGATTATGTGCCTGCCCCCTTTGTAATGCCCGGCAGGGCCTTGAGGGTATTGCAATAAATAAATATTAAATATTAAATATATAAATTTATATTTTTTTATATCCTGGACGCCATCAACGTGCACGATTGTTTTTAAACATCTATGGATCGTTGCTTCAAACCACACTGAATAAACATTACCTTTTAAAGTTACGAAGGAGTAAGAATTAAAACGGGCGGGAGAGAGGCATCACGGTGAGTCTTTGCTTCGGCAAACACTGTCAACGCTTGATCTTTTTTTTTTTTTTGTTTTACATACGCGGCAACATCTACCAGAGTTATGATGGTGCGCGCAGCACTTCGAAGTAAAACAAAGCGCAGATACCATAGCTGTCTTGAGTTAAAGGGTTGCTACAGGCAAAACACTACTACAGTGGTGATTTGGGCTCGTTGGTGTTGTATCTTAAAAGGGTAAAAAGACCACTGCTTTTACCATTTCTTTCCTGTCTCTGTCTTTTTGCGCTGTTTTTACCCTTAAAAAAACCCTACCACAAATATGACTAAAGCATGACTAACCAAAGAATATCTTGCACGTTTTGAATTAAATTGGTTACTCTGCGCAAGGAAGCTACACTCAGGCTACGAGCTGGATGCGACTATAGACCCTATGAGGAATACAGGTTTAATGTAAGCTGAATTAGAAGGCCCTAATACATTAATTACACGCTACCAAATAAATTTTTCTTTGGAAAAACAACGTAAAGCAAGCTCGAACTTTAAAACAAACGACCGCTCTCTTGTGGTAGCACATTACCGAAAGAGACAAATTAGAGAGTACATTACTATTTCTTTTGAAACTATACATGTATTTTGTACGTGGTTAAGAATACCTACTCTAATAGCAAGTGTGACTGTCGCTCTTACGTAGGCAGAAGGAGGATGCCTGTCCAAGGCCGAGTCCAAGGCCCACAACAGACCTGGCGACCAGAAGGAATAGGTAGGAAGGCGACAGGGCAACCGCGATGCCCCCGAGAAGACTGAGCGAGAACGAGACGATGACGATGGGGCGGCGTCCCAACCTGTGCAGCAAAGGCATTTGGTAGCGCTTTATCGCATTAATCAGCGTCTAAACTGCGCTACCACTGACATAGCCCCATCAGCGCAGCACTGTGACACCACCGGCAAAAACTAACTGCTGTGGAAAACCTTTGCAAGTATTCTGCTGTGCACTGGTTCACAGGCTTTTCGTGGCAAACTGGTGAAGGTCTAGGGGTGACCGCCATTTCCACGTGCGGTGTTGTCGAGTACTATCGCGGACAATATGAGCTGAAACGGCGCTCCGGCCTGTGCACGGTACTACCTGCGCCGCCTGTTTCATAGCCCCCTAAACACGGCTCGCCCTGAGGCCAAGATAAATTCTCACTTACGCTCACTGCGCCGCTGCGCTCTTCCGGCCATCTGCTAGCGAAAATATTGGCCGACGGAATCGCCATCAAGTTTTCAGCCAACATGCATTTCAGTGCATTTCAAGAAAACGCCGATGTGAAAAATGCGCTGTCACGCTCATATCTCCTCGAAGAGCGCTGCCTGACGAAGCTGCCTTCGCCCCCAAAAGGAGCCAATGTGAATATCATTGAAAACATTTGGAAGCGCATGAAGGTAGCCATGTCACGGCGTCCCCTCCACCGCGCCACTGCCCACAAATCGTGAAAAGCAATCAGAGGTGAATGGGAGTGGCTTCGGACTGAGCCAGATTTCGTGGCCGTGCTCTTTGATTTCTTACCAGACAGGAGAGCCGTGGTCACGGGTCAGGGGAGAATGACGCGGTAACTATTTTGCAAGTTTTACTGCGCCTCAGGACCCCCTGAACCGGACTTTTGCCGATTGGAACAAAGCTTGATGCTACAGTTGCAACATATTGTTTGACGACTTTAACCACGCATACTTTTGTGGGGTGCTCCTTTATCCCGATTATCTTGTATAGTGCAGTTGAACTTCCGCGCCGACCATTAATATTTTGTGTCTGACATTGTCCTCTGCCAATATTCTTTGATCAAATTTGAATCTCCTTCTCCTGACAAATATATCACTGTTTGTCCCTTCTTATTAAAACTAGGAATTTGTAAACAAAAAAAAAAACTGGTGTCTTGTCAGCAACTTGTGTTGTTTGAAACTCAAGTAGCTGACAAGACACCAGTGGGCACAGTAATAAAGAAATACTATTTTTGAACTTTTTCATACCAATCAAGGTTACAAAACCTTCTTCGTAACATATATGCTTACCGATATTTTTTTTTGAACGTCTGTGATCAATAAAAAAGAGCAAAAAAAAAGAAAAAAAAACAACCTTGGAGCCGGATTAAACCTGGCATACAGATTTTGGCCTATATCTTACGATGTCCTACTTTGTGAATGCCCCTATAATCAAACAAAAGCCACCTTCAACATCTTTAACATCTTTTTGTGTGACCTTCAAAAACGATAATCGCACCTGAAATTTAAGACACTTCAATATTTTTTCTTCACCAGTCAGCGTTTTTTCTACGAGGTCTTGAGCGATAGAGTAAAGTAAATCAATTCCAAAAGAGGGACGACAAGTGTAATCTTTTGTTCCCCTTGCCGCCCTACCACACATGCCCGCTGTCGCACCCGCCGTCTCGCTTGCAGACAGCCGGAAGAGCGCAGTGGCGCAGCGAGCGCAAGTGAGAATTCATCTCGGACTCAGGGTGCGCCATATGTGCGGAGCAAGGCGATAGGCGGCGCAGGTAGTACCGTGCGCCGGCCGGAGCGCTGTTTCAGCTCATATTGTCCGCGATAGTACGTACTGACAGCCAAAGAGAGTTGTTGGCGGACCATCGTGCTCTTAGTTGGTGAATTCGTCTTGATGCCATCAATCAAAAAAGTACTTCGAAGTCCATAATTTTGTTCGTTCGTGAACTACTTGTGATGTTTCTATATAGTACACTTATGCACAAGATAGAATTCCGCTCACCTGTCTCCAAGGGCAGAGCAGAGCAGGTTCCCCAGCAGCATCCCTCCCATAGTGGCGCTCTGAACCCAAGATCGCATCCAGGCTCGGTCGCATACCAGGTCCCACTGCGCGACCAACACGTCGACTCATTCCTAATGCTTACAGCATATCCGGGATGGTCCTCAGGTGGTGGGATAAGGCTTAAGACAAGTTGTGTGGCCAGCCTTATTCAAGTAGGGCCTGCTAGTCAGGTTCACGATTGGCTAGAGCCTTGAAGGCATAACACCCGCAAGATGCGACCCGATATAAGGCGATGTTATCTTTCGCGGCCGTGTTTCATCCTTGTTAGACATAGACCTACTTCTAGTATAGTTAGACGTGGGTTCGTTCGTTGACTTGGTTGAGTGCAAACAAACACCTTATAATTTGCAAGTGGAGAGAGGCGAATGACTCTCTCTCCCTCCTCTTTATCGAAAGGTGTACCTTCACCATACCACCTTTACAGCATCGACTTTCCATTAAAAAAGAAAGGGATAAATAGTAATGATATATGTAGCATTGTGGAATACGCTACATACAAGCAGTGTATAAATGGCGCGTGCTGACGGTGAGCTTCCGCACAGCATTTTCGGACTGTATATTAGGAACAACATTGATATTGTTATTATAGGCACATGTTACACGGAAGCTTGTTTCCAGCATGCGCTCCAACCAGTCAAAGATGACGATCGGCTAAGGCCCCATTTAGCATCGCAGTGATTAACACCCTCAGAATTTTGAAAAGAGAATCCTGCTCGCAGGAGTCCAGGCCGAACTGAAGCGTGTATGGACCCAGCTAGAGCAGCACTTACCTCCTGTACAAGAGAATGTTTGTAGAAGCTCTCGCCGTACTGCCATCTTTTACAGGCAGTCGTGATGTTTTCAAATGCCACAAGCTCAGATTCAATGCGTTCCACCGGGAACATGAAGCAGCTGCTGTAACGAGCGCCACCCCCGGGTGCCGCCTCACGAGGCAGCGCCATCGCCTTCCACTGTTTCACTGTCACATTGCCGGAGAGTTGATCGGGCAAGGCGCACCAGTGCTCGACCACGGGCAGAAAGAAGGTGTACGCCACCAGATGAAGACCGTTTGGGAAGCCCCTGAACACGCAGAACAAGAACACGTTCCTCTGGAACCTGCCGTAGTCCCCGATGACACTGGTGACGTCCATCGAGTCCTGGCGCAGAGTCTTCTATGGCATCCGGGTCAGACTTCAAACAAAGTATTGACCAGTGGAACAACTGTAAACACTGACGATCGTTACTTAAGCGGAAATACGCAATGTTTTAGAGAAGTTTGCATCTAAAGCTCTGCCCCTCTTGTGCCGTCTACGAACCACAGCTGTGAACCACAGCTGTTTACATGTCGTGGAACTAGAGAAATCTGGCAGTGCCGTTTTTATGAACAGTACGTGCGGAGCGAAGGTTCGTCTGCTCTTTGCACAGGGGTTGCAATGATGTCAGAACGCCGAACTCTTATTGGCTGATTAAAAAAAAATAGTGGGTAGGCTTCAAGACATTCAGCATTGATGTCTACCTATTATCCTTCTCATCAAAGCCTTGATGAGAAGGATAATAGGAGCTTGGCGTCGTTCTGACGACACCGCTACCCCTGCGCAAGAAGCAGACGACTTGCTCTCCGCATAGTATTGTCCCTAAGGTTTATCGATTGATTTCGAGTTTAGATAAGGATATTGTTCGGGATTTCCAGAACTTCGAGATAACACATTAAAGCTGCACTAAACCACTTTCTGCGATCTATACGCTTCATGCATCGCATCAGTCTATAGGCTCCAAGCATCGTAAAAAAACGAACATTACATTCTTGCGTGGCCAATTTTTGTATTAAAATTGATATCAAAATTGATTACCTGGAAACTATCGCCGACACCAGAGGGTGCCATCGGACGAGACGACGGGCTTCTCCTTAAAGTACTTTTATACTTCTTTTTACAAGTAACGACAACCAATACAAATGACAGAGCACATTCCACTGGAACAAAATGGCGGCATTCAGTTCAGTCCTCGGCTGTGCGCCGCCATTCGATTCCTAAAACTTGCAGCGTCACACAGTCGGCGCTTCAATGAATGTTGCTACTTCTAGGAAGCTCTTATCTAGGGACTTTACTTCTCCTCTCCCGACGGCGCACTCTGGTGTCTGCGATAGTTCTGGGGTAATCGATCTTTAAAACCGATTTGAATAAAGAAATCAGCCACGCATAAATCTAATGTTTTCTTTTTTTTTTTTTTAGGATGACTAGTGCAGATTGAGTTATGACAATAGACTATTGCAGAAAGTGGTTTAGTGCCCCTTTGCCTGCGGTCTCTCCTAATCTACCCAGAGTGGACGCAGGCGGGAGTGACTGCTCTGATAGCGACAGTAATCTTCTTTTTCTTTTCTTGTTTAAAGCAGGACTTCGTTAACGCATTCACCGCACTGTCTGACATGCCGATGATTTCACTCAGATGATGCATTTGGTTCCAAGAAGTCTAAACCGCGGAAGAAAATGTCGGCGAGCCAAGAAAAGCGGTCGACTTTTATTCCTAACAATTCGAATTTCGGCGAAAATATGAGCAGCAAGCAATAATCGAGCCATTCGCTAAAGCGTCATTCGATTGTAAAATACTGGATTGCTCGGCTAGTCAATGGTTGCCCGACATAATGAAAACAGCAAAAACAAACGGGACAACGTCGAGAAAAAAAAAAAACACCGAGGACAGGTTTTTGTTCTGTATGGTTCTCTTCGACTCCTTCCCGTCAATTTGCTCCGTTTTCATCATGTCGATCATTAGATTAAACAATACGACGAAAGCGACCGCTATTCGCTAAAAGGTTGTTTGATTCAACGGCGTTCGCTAAGATTACACAAATTTACATTTTGCTACAAACAACCCGTCAAGGTAGTATATATGTCTAGTTCCTGGCGGCTTAAAAAAACACCGGACGAGGTCTATCATAATCACGCGTCTTGCTGTGTGATTGTTTCCTAATGGCGACATACACCAAAAAACCGAGGACAAGAATGTAGAGATAGTTCTTCACCTCTCTGATTGGTTACTTCAGCAGTCTCATCGAGTGTACAGAAATAAGCTCACTTCTTAGGCTCTCAGCGACTAATGCATCTGTAGTACATTCGGAGCTTTCATTTTCAACCCCTATTTAACGATATATAGCAAAAAAACTTGAATACTTACTTTACAGATGTTCTACGAACTCGCAGCCACAGCCCAGCTCCTTCTGAGGCGGCAGACCCCTACCCACCCACGTAAGCGTAACTTGTGTAGTCCACAAAAATGCATGTACTCGTAAAGAAAAGAATTATGGGTGTTTTGCGCACGTGCTGCGTTCCTCACGCCCCTGTTATCGTTGGCGTTTAGCGAAGTGTCGAGTCAGCGAAAAACAAAGCTGAGAAAGAGTGAGTAAAACTATCCGCGCTTTGTAGGTGGTTAAGGGGCTGCTCCCGGTATGCGGTCTTTTTTTTTTTTTTTTTTTTTCTTTCCTTCGTCCGCTTGCGAGCTTTGAAAGAAAAGTTTTGGAGAACAAAACAGGTCACGAACCACGCAGGAATTTCTGAAAATTCTGGTGAGACTGGTTCGCGGACGTTGGGGAGTTATAGCGCCTAGTAATTTCTCTTTAAACGATAGTGGCGTCAAGAGCAAAGTGAGACAGAAGGGAGCGCTATGGTAAGATGAGTAACCCGGTAATTTCGTCCGCATTTTCTACTTCATGAACTTTCAGTAACGTCTTTTTTTTAATTGCTCATTTGAAAGGCGCCCGAGGCGGAAACAAGGGCCCGCAAAAACGATTTGCTCAAGTTCCCGAATTTCGGTGGCATTCTCTTTAAAAACTGCAATCGTAGACTTAGCTCATCTCCTTCAGATTAAGTAGTGGTTTCAGTTTAGTTTGGGAACTGCAAAGTCAAATCAATGGTCATTATGTTTCTCATCTGTATGTTAACAAAAAATATTTGAGTTCTTTTTTTACTTCATTAGTTTCGGTAGACTCAACTTCACTCTTCGTGGGCAAGGCCCGCATAAGGGTCGCTACGCGTGCACTCATTCCCGCGTGCCCACATCCCCTCCCGGCATGCCTGCCGCGGCGGGAGGAAGTCTTCCCCATAAGGATCCGAACGGATTCCGCAGTCGCCCCAGCAGTCTTGGCCTCCGGGGGACGGGGCCCCGATGATGCCAGCCGGGCTTTCCCCTACTGCTTTGCCAGGGCGTCCGCAGTTAGCCTCCGATACATTCTCTGGAATTGCCTAAATCTTCAGCACCGCCTCCTCCTCCTGACTCAGGCACGAGGCCTCAACCTGGCCTTCCCTGAGGACCACTACGGATGGACCAGAGTGAACGCGCATGCCGGAGCCCTTTTGGGTTTTATACGGGATGCACAAATAGCGCACCTAATCTAAACAATCAAACTATGCTTGTTGCACGAACAAAAAATATCAAATGCAAAATACGCCTTTTTTAAGCCAAATGAATGAATTTGTTTGCAGCTTTTCATCATGCAAAGCTAAGAGTCAGGCACAAGTGACGGGCATGAGCATCAACATAGGTGCGATAACACTTATTATTCTCGTCAGAATTTCACAAGCGCCTATTTTAATAATCGGTCATCAATTTTATAAACAATCAGACATCTCCAAGAAATATTTCCTAATCAGGAATTGTTTTACAATTACCTATTTTTGCAAAATTCAAATAACTGAGCTTTGTTCCTCATCCTTGTGCGCAAACCACGTGAATAAACGTTAAAATATATTGATAATCACCTATAATAGCAAGTTCTATCGATGGCGAATCTTGAACATCATGGACCATATATCATTGCTCAATGACATCGAACTTAAAATCTACTCAAAAGGTTATTGTTGAAAACGCTCTCACGGTGTGTTTTCCGATCAAGGCATCCCCAAAACCACTCTTGACATTTTCCCTTCACGAGAGACAAAAAAAAAAAAAAAACAACGAAAGCCGCTAGAATAATGACAACAAAGAGTTTTGTTAAACACGTTTATTCTCAGGTATATTAAAAAAATCTCGCATGAATCTCTTTAAAAAAATTAAATGCCATCGCGGTTATGCAACTGGTTTGCCACAGACCTTGTCATAATCTCGTCCAAAACAAATCTCATACATGTCCTGTATAGGCCTGGACAGACGCAATACAAGGCACGAGGGAACTCGGCCAAATCTACGCCAGATCTCAACCATATGCAAGCCCGATCTCGGCCAGATCTAAGCCAGATCTAGACCAGATCTAAGCCAGGTCTCGACCCTCAATTCAGATCTCTTACCAATTCCATTCAGATCTCATGCAGATCACTTAGCGATGGCGTCTGTTGATTTCTCCGCATGCGTACGTAACGTAAGGTCACCACCATGAGCACATATACACATAATCCTTGACATATACACATTCAAGTCTATTTTAAAAACATTGGGGGGAGGGAGAGGAGCGAGAGGTGTAGATTAGTTGGCTAGGATGAGCTCAGCGGAACGTAGCTTCCTCTGAGGGCAGTTGTCTTACGCTGGCTCTACGCGAAGAGTGTGTCGAAAGAGGCGGGTCTTCATTTAAGGTTACGTGACAGCGTCACATCCTGGGGAGCATCGCCATGTTGGTTCCCCTGGTGGCTCAGCTGGATGTTGATGTACTGACGCACCAAGCGCGATATCTCGTGCGCCTGCGCAAGAAAATACGGGCAAAATGTTAGGCATGAAGGTAAAAACATCGAACGTAACCCTACCCAAAAACTCAATATATAACTTTTCGCTATCTGGATTATAAAACAGGAAATCTTGTTGGTTTCTATCTGGATCTTAGGCTTTCATAAATTATTTCCTTGTCTGCAATCTGGATTTCAGGTTTCTGGTAACAATTCTAGTTAGATCTCGTGTTCCATAATCCAGATGGCGACAAGTTATATTGCGTTTTGGGGTAGGGAAGCGATCGTAAATTTAAAAGTCATGAGTTTCCAGTCAATAAGAGACTTCAAAGAACATTAATACTATGATTGAGCTAGTTGGTTAATGTGCATTTAAAATGTTTAAAAGCGCAAAAGAACACAAAGACGAAAAAGAAACACATAAAACATAAACGGGCGCTTTTAAGCTTTTCAAAGACCACTCAGGTCAAGAAGGTCATTACAAGACAGTCGTACAAAGAAAATGACATCTCAATTTTAACCACTTAAAATATATTTCTTCTGAAGCTGGAAGTTTTTAAATGTCCGCAAGAATTGTTATGTGACGTCACAGGTTGTCCGCGAGACTTTTCAACTGCCACTTCCTTCTAGTCTGCACGTGTAATTTAGTGTGCTTTTTCTCACTTGTAGCAGCGAACATCCTGAAAGTCGTGACTTGTGCATCACCCGCTAACGTCACGGCAACAAACGGATCACCAGAAGAGGAGACAATTTTTCACGCACGTTTTGTTTTGAGATTGGGCAGACCAAGAGGCTGCTTACACGTGGGTCAATGCGCGAGCGCATAAAACAAGTTCACGTGAAGTGGCGCATACGCGCATGCGCCGACAGCAGCGCACCCCTGCGGCGTTACGTCAGAGTCGCGCATTGGTGTACAAGGGCGCCAAAAACGAGGAAGGCATGTTTTATCGTGTGACTTGGAGGATCAAAGACTCAACGTCACCTGATCCGTCTGGATGCGAGTGATCTTCTGAACCATGAGGTTCCCGCACTTCATGTCGAGGAACAGGGTGCCGTCTTCGGCGCGGACTTTTCTGGTCGAGATCACTTCCGAAAAAGGGTACATCCAAATGGACTCCTGCGTCACAACCAAAGTTCGCTTAGATCGTAAAAAATCCTACATCAAGGCTGACGACCAGACTAGAGGTTCTGCAAGGCAGAAGATCCTCCTCATCACGGGGGAGGAGGAAACAGAAAACGGTGGACAGGGTAGAAGGAGGAGAGGAGGAAGTGGGGGAAAAGTGGAAAGCGCGGACTGGTCGTCGGTCTTTAAAATACAAATGCGCGCACTAAAACATTGTGCATAGAAACATTTAGCATAGCTTAAGAGGCAACACTCCCTAAAAAAAATAACTCATATAAGAATTACCTAAAAAAGCGCTTTACATGGGGAGTTGTGGAAAGACACACTCAACTAAGCTAATAATAGAAAGCCAAAATGTAGGGGGAAAGAGGACCATAAGCCGTTATCGAACGCAGCAGCCAGAACACACCTATATGGATATATTAGAATGTCGCAACAAAATTTTTCGTTTAAGGGAATTAAACGAAAAGGATGGAATGGACTTACATGGGTAACGACATCGAGGAAGTGAATGCCTTCTCGGTTCAGCGCCAGGATGTGCTCCGCTGTCGTGTTCTCGTTACGAATCCACTGCAAAAACAAAGCACGTCTAAAAAAAGAAATTGCACGAAAAAAAAAAAAATTCACAAAACTCTCATAAATTTACCTTATCAATAGATTGTACAATAATTGAACTCATTAAAACGCACTAATGCGGGTATTTAAAGTTAAGACATGCATGAGTCATGCACCCCACACGGTTGTATGTCTTCACTTGTGCACCTCGCAGACAATGAGCTCCAACGTTTGATCCCGACTTTTTATGGGTCTGCAATCCCCACAACTTTCCATTATCTTTAGATCTGTCGTAGTTTAATAATAGTGACCTAAGTTTTGCGTTCCCTCAAACAGTTTGAACCAAAGCCATGTTTTAGAAACCGTTAAAGAAGCCAGAAAAGCATGAAGGACAGATGCAGCTTATATTGTCAGCGATTGTACACCTGTTTTCATTCGAACATCGTATTGATTAATTCGTCATGCTGATGCGCTCGCGAAAAGTTAAACCCGCACAAATTATTTAAAAAGAAATTATCTGGAACCTGGATGAGGCATTAGCAAAATTCATCCAAATCCAAGGCTGGTGTTCTTAGTACGTATTTAACCTGTTTTCGAACACGGCACTTTGAAACTTCTACGTCCTTCGCATAAAAACAAAAATAAAAAAAACTACGTCTAAGATTTGAGCGCATCATTTATCTATTTAATTAATTAAGGAGTACTGTCACTTTCCTTACTCAGAACACCCATAAATGTGGTGACAGAGAGAACATATCCCGCAGAAAATAAGACAAAAACGTAAATATACTAGAAGGTGTTACAGTGAGAGCTTTCAAAGAGGGGTTGAGAAATAGGAACTCTCACCGGAAATAACTTGCCAGCCATGGCGGACAATAAGGATTGCAAAACGAATACTGATTAGCTAAATATTTAACTAAAATCTAAAAAAAATAGCATTTTAATTCGACAATACCAACGTATAGGATCCAATGAGAAACTCCCCAAGATCATTAAAAAAAATCACAAAATCAACTCATTTTAGAAATGTATAAGGCATGAGCAGCATTTCACAGCGTTCCGAACCAATTGCTCAAACTAGACGCGTTTCTAGGTTTTGGTTTTCTATCGAAGCACATCCCTGCGCCAGCAGTGGACAATGGCGCAAAAATGCGCCCCGATAAAGAACCGAAAGTTAAAAAAAACTTTTGAAACGCCATGAAATGCTGCCCCTGCAATATACTTTAAAACAAAATGAGTTGATTTAGTAAATTTCGATGAATCTTTATAAGTTTTTTATTAGAACCATTTTTTTTTACGAATTAAAAATGTGAATGAAAATGTCTTAGTTCATTATTCTTCTCATTAGTATTTTTTTTTTTTGCAATTATTGACGTCTGACTTGGCTGACAGTTCGTTCCCGGAAAGAGTTTCCTTCTTTTCAAAACCACACTATTTGTAGGGTTTTTCTTCTAAGTTTTCGCCGAAACGCTCAATATAGTTCACTACTGAGCTCAGTTGAAACGCTAGTTGTCTACAATCCAGATGCATTATGACATAACCTTCTCTGTATCACGAATTTCACATGGTGACTTCAAGGAAAATCACACAGAAAGGAACATGCAAAAAGAAGTCACCTTGACAGCGAAGAAGCAGGAGCCAAACAGGGGCCACCTCTGGAGGATGTCTAAATCAAAAGTGAAAAGAAAAAAAGAGAAAAACTTCGCTCAAACAAAATTTTGTTACAGGCGAAACATTTGTCACAAAATAATATGGAATCCATATACAGCAACAAATTCGTCAAAACTTCATAAAGTCTAACGGCTTGCATCCAGGTTCATTTTTAACAAATACCATCGTCTTCATTCACTCCCTGTACTTTGTAGACTTGCCGAACTCCTTGATTAAACTGCCTGATTAAACCCTCGTTTGAACAGATGTTTACGATTTTATGAAAAATATAAAAAGCATAGCGTTTCACAATATGCCACGAATTTAGGATTTTATCCTTTTGTGTGTGTGTGTGTTAATAGCGTGCGCATAAGTATTTTCCTTTTTATAGCATATCACCACTCCTGGAAACCCCCTACAAGGACTGACAATATCGATAAATAAATTGATAAATAAATAAATAAAGTGAAGACGCCACCTGGTGTCGAGTCTCCTTCACTCTATCGGCAGAAGAACCTCTACATGTGACTTGGTAAGAGGTTAGATTTTCCAGGTCGAGACATAGTGCTTCTGGTCTCAGTGACTCGTGCGTCTTGTCAATTTAATATACCCAGTAAACCACAGTAGTTTATGAACGAGTCAGGTAAGTCAGGAAAGACTGAGGCATTGTTATCACAAAGGGAAAATCCCGAAAGAAGAACTACTTTAAATTTAAAAATAGCAATGCTTGCTCAAGTAGCTGAAGAGGCCAGTGTTCTTATCGAAACATCGGCTGCAGTTTTCGAGTATACCTAAAATCTGTTTTTTTTTTTCTTTTTTTTTTTTTCTGAAATGCATGATTAGGCACTGACCCAGACACTGCGCCTTGGCCTCGGTGTTCGTAAGGGCCATCATGTCGGGCCAGTTACGCTGGACCAGGTCGACCCAGTGGGGAGGCTTCACCTCCTTGCTCGCCAGCACGGGCTTGGGAAGTAGATATTTCACTTCGTCTCTGAAATTGAGCGATGCAAACACGTTCACTTTACAACTACGTTATTGATTCATATACGGACATCTGTAACGCTGCTACTATCTCTTGCGGCAGTAAGTGTAAGCGAAAAAATATTTTCATCAATCGATCTAAAGAAAAGAAAATAGCAAACATCGCATCGATTTAAACGTTTCGGAAGATGCCCGATTGGAGAGATTTAAGAAACTACACGAAGCTTTTTTTCAATTCACATTGCTGTACATCAGCTTGCTGGTGTTATTGCCACTGTTCGTTCATTTACGTCATTTTCACCCTTATTTTACCTTCTGAAGCCACGCCTGCGCAAAAAAAAAAACGCCGATAAACTCCGAATCGCGTTAGAAATAAGTACCGCACACCGGATACCCCAAAAAATCTTCATCTATTTAGTTGAGCATCTTAGTGAATCCAAATCAACTTCTTTTTTTTTCCTGAGTCAATTTTTTTTTTTTTTTTTGTTCTGTTGGCGAGAAGCGCGTTCAATAACTGTACTGCTAAAAAGGCAGAGCAACTCACTTGGAGGGCACATGCTGCATGTCGGCGGCACGGTGGAGAAGAGCTGCAATTCGTGCAATGTCCGCCTGGGAGGAAGATTAAAGTACTATTAAAAAAACGGAAGTAGTTGCCAATCAATATCGCAACAAGAGATTCTCTGCTAGGCAAGAGAGGGAACGTAGTCATTAAATAAGATATATTTTCACTGATTCACTTTGTCGCATATAAAAAAATAGCAGTAGTCTAGATTCTACAAGAGTTAGCGATGTTACTCGTAAGACTCTTGAGCACTTGGTTACGAACATAGCCCCGCATATATTTAAAAGAGTGAAATTAAAGTAACAAATAGCGGGCATACCTTTCCACAAATATGGAAGATTTAATTGATAATTTAGAAATTTAAGCGCACGCGACACAAACAAGCCACTCATAAAATCCACTTCGTTTATAGGGCTAGGGTAACCGATTCATCTACCGGCTTAAAACAAACAAAAAAAAAAGTGTGAATCTCGTTCAGAAATGAGATTATGTGAATGGCCTTCGATGATCCACGAGACATACAAGATTATTCGAGAATAGTTGCAAATAAATTTATTTTGTAACGTCATGGATGTAACCATTACTACAATGGTCCTGAACAAGGACCAGTAGTATAAAGAAATAGATAAATAAAAATACCTCGTTGCCAAAAAAAGCACGTAGCCTGCGCTTAAACAGGATAAAGGCAGTGGATCGTAGAATACGTTTGTGCACTGGAATCGATGCATAACTATAAACCGATTGGTTCATAACTATGCGTCCATTGAACTGGTTCAATTTTAATATGTTCAATTGAACTTCGCCACGATCCTAACGGTGACTTGACCTTTGACGTCAACTTTAGCGAGAGAAATTCTCCCTAAATGTAGCACGAAAGGTCAGGGGTCGATCACGCAATATAGCGCAGAGACTTGCTAAGTCCAGGTCACGAACGTACACCACGCGACACTGTTAGCGCGAACACGACATTGTCACTTTTTTGCAAGTTGCTTCTAAAAGATACCGTCGGGAATTAAAGCTTACCGCTTATGTCAGTGTCCCAAAGGAGAACGTCCCACCACGCTAGTAACAGAGTTGTACGTAACGGGTAATTAACGTGAAACGTTTTTAGGTTACGTTGCCAGATTAAGTGAAGCCACAAGAAGTGTAACCGCGAATTCCCGCTAAATGTAGCGGGAAAACTGAATGTGTGTAGGTCACGTGACATCAGGCCATCTGAAGTTATTTTCCCCGCTAAATTTAGCGGGTCAATGGGGTGGAGAGGAGTGGGTGGAGTCAATCGGGCTGAGAGGAATAAAGAGTCCTGGAGGAAGAGCTCGAGAAGAAATGCCTGGAGGTTACTAGCTCTAAGCCAAGATAGTTTCACGTAGCAACGCCATATGAAGTGACGAAAGAAGGGTATTTCTGGGGGGGGGGGGGGGAAGGGGGGGGGGAAGGGGGGGGGGAAGGGGGGGGGGTGACGACTACTAGAAGACAAGTACACTACCAAGCTCTCACCCCCGGCTCGCGCCTGCAATTTGCACGACGAGCAGACGCTAGATAGACCATAAAAAAATGTGCACAAGTTATGTCGGTATAGTCACAGTCATTCCCGAAGGAACTTATTAAAAACCGAGGACTTATTAACGACGACAAATATTGGAAGTGGCTACTGCTTCATGAAAACGGCATATTCGGAGTAACGAGAAAATAACGGTCAACTTTCAAGCTGGCGTAGCGAGTTCCTTCCGAATCGCAGTACTGAGTAACGTACTTAGTAACTTTTTTTTATGAATCAGTAACGAGTAAAGGTATCTAGTTACTTTATTTTAGTAAGGTGTACATGTCTGATTAGCAGTTTTGGCGAGAGCCCTTTGGTCCTAAAAGAAAAACAGCATCGACGTTTGCTTGTTCGCGCTAACAGCGTCCCGCTGTGCACGTATACACTTACACGCTTTTTACAAACAAGTCCTCATCTGCGCATGCGCAGTGCCCTACAGACAGCAGCGCCACCGCTGTGGCATGACGTCAGAGAGTTGACCTGGTGTAGAGGCGTTTGCAAGTACGGCCTCTGGATGCCGCCATCTCGCTGAGCTGGTGCGGGTAGATCGCATTATAGTCAAGCATTGCCGAGGCCGTGGGTGCGCCTCAGCAATGCTTGATTATCAGACGATGTACTAACACCAGCAGCAAGATGACATCGCCCAGAGGCCGTACTTGCAAACGTCTGTACCACGTTAGCAAGCAGCGGGCGCTCACCAGACTGGAGTCCGGCAGTCTCCTGCCTTGGTGTTGAACGAGAAGCAGGCCCTCCAGGTAGTCCGGCGCTACCTGGTTGAAGATGAGCTCCACGTAAAGCGGGTTGTCCAGCCGCAGCGGGAAGAACCACACGGAACGGCAGAAGATCAGGTAGAACACGTGACCGTTCTTGATCAGTTCCGTCGTCACATCCAGGATGTACTCCTCGCGACTCAGCGGCATCGTCAGGGGATCTGGGAACCGGTATGGAACAACAACAGCAAAGCGTGTACGTGAAAAGAGGAGACGGCTGACTCGGGGATACTGCGTTCGAGCTGGTGGTCAAAAAGTATACAGTGTAGGCCGGATGAAACTACTCCGCTTCAAGTGAATCGCAAATGTAAGTTTTGAATGCTACGACCCTAGTCTATGATAAAGAAATGGCTAATTAAGTCTTGCATTTATTTTATATATATAATGCATAAAAAGCGTTAAAATGGAACGTTTTCTAAATCAAATCTAGATTAAAAACGTCCACCTTCACGCAGATCGTCATAAAAAGAAACCTAAGATCCTAAAACCTTAAAACCTAAAAAAAAATGTTTTTTTTTTTGTTATTCTGAAGGTTCAAGGAAGAACAAGTTCTTTCATCAATATTCTAGAAAAACGAGAGTACCAAATAATCGTATACGCTTGCTGTTCATCGCATTTCCTAGCATGCAACGCCGATTTTTAGGATTCAATTAAATCGAGTTAGACCCACTTGCCCTACACGAAAACAGAGGCAGTACTTACAAGACAAGGCCACACTAGACAAAGACGCTATGCCCGTATTACAGGCGTTGCAAACTGACGAGATTAGCATGCAACGTCGATTTTTGTGATTAAATTAAAGCTAATTAGACCCGTTTGCTCACACGATAACAGGGACAATACACAAGAACAACTGGCCCTACTAAAAAGACGCTATGCCCGTACTACAGGCGTTGCAAACTGGGGAGATTTCTGCATCTGATCGACGTCTTACATCTCCCTTTTACGAAACAAACATACAACAAACACTGTCACGACCCTTCCCTTGGGTAACCTTTCTACCTTGCCTACTCATTGGAAAGAAGGCGATTTAGTGATATGAGCTGTGGACATACATGCGCGGAAACGCACCAAAGAGCGAGGCATTTGCGCAACCCGTCAAACGGCCAGCACCTTAATCTTAGCGTGACGTCAGAAAGAAGTTCTGCCTGAAACTGAGTCAATCAGCCCGCCAGAGCCTTCACGCTTGGCCCGTGCTGTATGGTTTCGCTTTTCTGTCGAGCTCTTACCGCCTTCGACGATGCAGTAGAGCGAGAACTCTTCCATCTCGGTGCTGCCCCGCACTCCCAGAATGCCGCAGATCTCGTCGATGATGTCCTCGACGACGGTGGTCGACTTGGTGTTGATGACGCGCTCGGTGCCACCGGGCAGTCGGTAAATCTGCCTCTTCGAGTTGCGGCCGGCCTGAACCCAAGCAAGAAACGTACAGAAGGCAAGGCAGATTTGTAATGCATTGCCATTTTAGATACGAATCTACTGGGTAACTTTCTAAACAAAAAAAAAAAAGGATTTTTTAATTTTCTTTTTTTTTTCACTTTACGAATAATTAACAAGAACCGTCTTACGCCCCTACTCCGCCAGAATGTGGTCCTATGGCAGTTGGAACAAGCTGCAAACGTTTTAGAGCTTAGAGTTATCGAATTCATAAGTTTTTTCGTATATTTTCACGAAGTATAGTAGTACCAGCCGACGGCCTTTGCCCCATGTATTCGTGGGCGGCGGTATTTGCCCTTTCTTAATAGAAAACCGAAAGTTACTCATTACAGTTCTTACAGCTAAAACTATGACTCGCCTTACCAGGGGGAAGAAGATAGAAATTCAGTAAAACTGACAAATAACAACAGAAAGAGAAGGAACAGAGTAAAAATAAGTGTACCCACCGAAATGGCCGCTATCTCCTCAATGCTCGGAACATTCTTCCGACCACCGTACTTGAACGTTTTCCTCAGATTCTGTAGGCAGACCATCGCCGTTCCTGAAGAAAGAAAGGCACAAAAAGAACACAAACAAATGAAATCTTTTAGTAAATGGAGTCTCGGAAGTCAAGTCGGCGTTCTGAAAAAAGGATCGTTGAAGGCATTCACCGTGGTAGGCTCGCCGCTTGTCATACGCTGCCGTCTCGAGGAATTTGAACAGGTAAGGCCTAAGGTTCTCGGAGCAATCGAAGTAAGCCGCCACGATGGAAAACAACCTCCAACCTCGCTGGCAGCTGTCTCTGAAAAAACGACAAATGGCATACACATAACGATTAGATATTTTTGCGGGATCTATGTTGTTTCTTTTCGTAACACCAAAGGATGCGACGCAAACCAACGGGACAAACGTGAAGCAGAAAAGCGAGGAGGTACCGCTTATTCAAGTGTGTGGCAAAAATCGTCTAGGCCTGGTGGCCGAAATGTGAAAAGGGGAAGAAGGGTTTAAATGCGCGATATTGGAGATCCGAATGATTTGAAGGCACTCTTCAAGGAATGGCACACTCACGGTCTGGAGCTCTTGTTGCTTGTCGTCTGCTTGATGATCTGGCTGTACACTTCATCCCTCAGGGGTGGGTGTTTATGGCAACTCTGCAGAACAAGTGTGTTGACTGTTACTAACGCTGAAGATCATACCAGGTAGAAGGACTGGTCAGCAATTATAAACTATAAGACGCGCAAACCTCCACAAAAACTATGAACACGCGTTCTTTTTTTTTTATTTTTCATAGAACTATAAGCGAGTAATATTTGTATTTATAACTTTCTTAAATTGGTAGTATTTAATATGCAGCGCATCGTTCTCTAGTTTAATATTATTCAAAATATTCAAAGCACAACGACTAAAAAAGCAATAAGGGCATGTCAGAAAAATATGCATGTCAACAAAATACGATTGCCAGAGGACTCAGTAAGGTTATGTACATCAATTTATGAAATATTTACTTACAATAAACAAAGCTTGTCATTTCATAATCTTCGATAGAAAACTCACATGGTGTCACCATACAAAAATTGCCATGTCCTCATTCTATGGCATTTAATGACTCTCAGAAGAACGTTAATTTTCCGAATGGAAGGTGGTGTCCAGTGAAGATAGCTAGATTCTCTCTTTCTAATAGGTCTCGCATTTATCAGAATGGAAGCTACTGACAAACATGTATATTTCATGTGAGCTACTAGAAGTAATCCACTAGCATTCATTTTTAATGCATAACATGCTTTAATAATTGATTGATTCCTTAACGAAAAGTATGTGCTTCGTAATCGTACCAAAGATAATACTTACCACTAGGATTGAATACACACAGTCCACTTCAGACTGGTTCTTGGACATGGGATAGTCACCCATGTACCGCATGACAGCTGAAACGGGATATGCAATCATGTCAAAACACGCCCTCTTAGTAATAAATAGTGGAGGTCTGACCAGCCCATGAGATGCTTACACAGAAAGCTGTCTATGGCAAGTTTGTTCATCTCTGGCGACTCAAGGTTCAGCAGTGATGCTTTGATTGGCGACTGCAAGCAAGGCCAAGGCAGGAACATTTTTTTAACACCGACAAAAAAACGAACTAAGCACATGCAAGCTTAAGCTTTGGAAGCTAAAATAAAATTGAAACGTTTCAAACCTTAGAAAATTTTACAAGTTGGGCAAGTTCTTTCCAGGTCCAGTCGGAATCCTTAGTCTTCTTGCTTGTCTTCAAGTCTTCCAGCATCTTGACGGAGCCTCTAAATGACCCATCCCGTTCTCGCAACAACCCGTATCTAAAAGAATCGGGAATGTTTCAAAACAAATAAAAATGTAGTCAAATACTAAACTCGTAGAAAAAAAAACTTGCAAGAGTAGAAATTTTACAAACAAAACATGTAATAAAAACAATTACCGATGTTTTAAAAAACTTTAGCCAAACGAAAAAAAAGATGTTTTGACAAAACAAAGATCGTTGCCTGTTGTAAATAACACCGCATAAACACATATGAAAAAAATAGAAAGCATCAAGAACTTCACAAAAATAAGCCAGAATGCTGCAACCCATCGGAAATGTTGCGAAAGAATCGACAATGCAGAAAATTTATGTCCTAAAAACAATCGAGAGTACCGAAATTGTCTCGTATCTAAGGTCCTTTGGTGTCGAGTTACCTCTCCAAGCTCTCTCGGAAGTTGAACATGGCGAACTGTAACATGCTGTGCTTGCCGTCTGCCATCTGCATCTCCATGCCATTGGGAATCTCGATGACTTCCTCCTCAAGTCCGTCCGGATGCTCCTAGGGACGATAATAGAATTTAATAAAAAGCACCGTAGATTACAAAGGAAGAAAAATCAGCTTTTGAGTAACGGTTTTAGCGCGAATCAAGTAAGTGAAGTAGAAAAAAAAAATCGCCATACTGCCATTATTAAGGAGTGTGTTTAAAGGTATGTCGCAAGGTTCACCGGTTGCCGCAGGGTAAAAGTCACACCTCCAGAACATAAACGACTACGCGAAAGTTGAGCCGCAATCACACTGCGAATACAACAGACATGCTGTAGACGCTGTCTGTATGATGGCATTGTCACATCGGTCATACGAAAACGGCCTTTAGAGATGTTCGAAGCACCTTGTGTATGGAGCAAACATGCTCCGAACACGCTTGTGGTGTCTCCGCAAATAATTCTGCAGCAGCCACACTCCCCGTACGATGTACGGGGAGTGTGATTGCTGCTTTACAGTTCATCTTAAGACTGAGAGCATGCAGTCAAGGGCTAGAAGAGGTATACCAACACCAGGCGCACAAACTAAAGACGCAGGGTCATGGCGCAGTCTGCGTACTCGATTGTTTTTGAGCAGGTCAGAGCGAAGACACAAGACGACGGCCACCGTGACATTGCGCTTATAGCGCTACTTCGTTAGCTTCACCGAGTCGTAGCGTCGGCTATGCTTCGACTTTGGATGAAACGAAGCATGGTGATGGTAAAATGATAGCCCCTCGACTTCTTACTATTCCCATCGGGGTTTTGATGAAAAAATCCGACAGATCAGCGATCAAGTCAGTCTCTGATGTCCTAGCACCTTGCGGTCGAGATTAGTCATTCATCACTCTCTTACGATCGTGACACTTATCTTCTGGACAGTGATTCTGCGGAAACGTGGCGATTTCGCTTCGCCGTCATATTACCACTGCCAGAATAAACCTTCGACTGTGCTCCGCTATGCCAAATGTGGAGGTTGCACCGGGATGGCATCACATATACGCTGTTCCTATAGTATCCAACACTTAAGTATGAAGGCTCAGCAGAGGCCTGATGGCTTCATAACAACGGGCCACTCCGAACCCTTCGCCCGTGCCGGGTAATGGTCGTGAAATAGAATACGTTTATATCCTGTACCAGTTACGTCGGTGCATATACTGGGCACCAAATGAATTGTAACACAATTATGCACCAGTAAGTTGGTGTATATTATGCACCAATTCCCTCGACCCTTGTCACTCTACCTTCTTTCCACCAGACTTGGCGGGAGAATACCGCGCCAAGTTTAGCGGGAAAATGTCAAAGATTAAAGGTCACGTCACGTAACGCTGACACTCGCCGTATAAACCATAAACCTTTTCCACGTCAAAATTCTACGAGGATTCACTGACCTTCGCCTCGATCCAGGCTGTGCCGTTATGAGCCGAAGCCAGCAGCGACGCGTGCTCCGACGGCGAGCGCATGTCCCGGCCACTGTCCACGACGCTGGTGCGACCATTCGCCGCCGGTGTGTGGGCCGCTACGCTGGGCTGACGGCTGGACAGCGGCACCACGTACTCGCAGGGGAACAGACCGCTGTCTCCGGTGTCGGTGACGCCGTACAGCCAACCTGGACGTGCACAAGGTCGTCTCGTTCGCAACAGGCACGGCCACACACGAAGAATCCCGGAAACTCTACCGCAGCGCTGACAACACGGTCCAATGGCAAAGTTCGCCGGAAGCCTTATTGTCGACCGACACCACCTTGATAACAAATCCGTCGTGCTAGATTGTCTATGGAGGTCAGCGCGGGGCGTAGATCGGGCACGAGGGATGCATCAGTGAGGTCAAGAGTCCTAGACTAAAACTCTAAGAATTTCCCTGCATCTGTACTTACCTCCTTTCTGGGCACCCAAGCCAAGCCCAAGCTTTGAACTAGCAAGGCTCAGTCTTTAGCATCTTTGCTCTATCTAAAACAGACAGTCTCCGATGCTATCTGCTGCCAGCCTGCTAACATGCTTTCAAAGGTTTTATTTTCGGGTTATGCGCATTCCGATAATAGATAACCTTGTGCAGTGCAGAAAACGCAGCATCACGCCGCGCCCGTAACATTGAACACACGAAGAGAAAAACCAAATTATGGCGAATTGCTATAATTCTGTTGCATACATAAAACGCTCTGGCATAACAAACGCTTAGCGATAATCCGAGTTTCCAGACGCCAGACGCCCATGTTCACGGCCCTCTTCATCAGATAGTTTAAGGCGTACCATGTGTACACTCGATAGCTGTTTCTATAGGCAGCCGCCAACGGCCCGGCGGCGCCAGCAGGGTGAGAGCGCACGGTTACAGCCTGTCTCGTTGTACACTCTCAGAAAAAAAGGTGTATTATTACACCCCTTGTCCCATATAATACACCCCAAAACTTCAATTCGACGTACAGCGCCCCATAATCGAACAGGCGGCCCCAAAGTTTACGAGGGGCTTGATAGCCGTGTGGTACAACATATAAAGATAGCTGATGTACGTATTATTGACTACAAAAAAGAGAATCAGAGTTTTCTTGGCCGTACTGCAAAAGCTCCGTGTTTTCTTTCTTTGGTCTTTGATACGTACTTTAACAATTTAATAAGTTATATCGCACCGTTATCAAGCCCCTGGTAAAATTTGGTGCCGTCTGTTCGACTATAGGGCACTGTACGTCGAATCGAAGTTTTGGGGTGTATTATATGGGACAAAAGGGTGTAAGGTGATACCCTTTTTTTTTAGAGTGTAACTTGGCAAAGGGTGAACGATAAGCCCCACATTGCGTGCCGAAGGCTTCGAAATGCGCGACGTATACGAGCGCAACGCACACATATTGGAGCATGATGCAGCGAAAAGCCTGATACTTCTTCGGAGTTGAGGCGCGCTCCGGTGATACGCAGCCACGTTCCGATTGGCCCGCCAGGGCCGTAGCTTTGGCTCTACTGGCACGTTACGCGATCACGGCTTCCTGGGATACCCAGCATTTCTTGCTTCAGACACTAGGCTCAGGGGCGCCACCAGAGTAAATGCTCACGTTTGAACAATGCAGCCGCCACTCCCAGGGGTACTTAATATTTCTTGCTTCAGTCGCTAGATGGCGCCAAACCAAACAGCATTGCAAGTTGCCTACACTTCGTTTCAGTTTGAAGTACAGACGGAGCAGACGCTACGAACTAATGGGACCAATCAAGCTGCGCCAAAAGCGCAAGTCACTGAGCCTTTCTTTTTTTTTTCTTTTGTTTACGATAGGTTCAGCGATGATCGAGCACGTACAGAAACATGACAAGCACAAAGATGGTCGTGCGCTTTTGACGCTGTTTGTTTGGTTCCGTCAGTTCGTAGCGTGGGCTACGTATTGACTTAAGGTGAAACTAAGTATAGATGAAGCACCCTACTGAAAAATCTTATGTGCAGAATAAACGTATTGGTCCAATAAGCGGATATGATAAATATGATAGTATAAGAACATATAAGAACCATGCAAGAGTATATAAGAAGTTATAGGAAACTGATAAGGAGAATTCTGATAACTTCTTATACAATCTTATAATGTCTTACATGTTCTTGTAGTGTTTTTTGTGTTCTTATATGATCTTATTTGATCATATGGGTTTATTGGACCAAACTATTTCTTACAGATGTGAGATTCTTTTTACTAGGGTGGTACTAACGCTAATCGGGCTGATTAACCTGTCGATATTTCAGAGCATTCCGTACCCTCGAGCTCCTCTCCCTCAATGCGCACAGGTGGTCGAGCTCCTCCTCGTCTACCCCTCTGGTCACGTGACCTCCCCGTTAACCAACCAGCGTCGAGCATCTCACTCCTTTTCTCCCATTCGCCAAGCAATCAGTGTCGAGAGCTCGCAGGCACGCTTTTATGTAGGCTTCAATGTTATCTGGGCTTTACGAAATGCCGAACACCTAGCGGAAGAAAGTTTCACGTTTACATTTACGGTAAATTGCTAGACACTCGTGGTGCATACGTGAAACATGTGCAACACGAGATCTTCCAGAGTCTTCCATACTCTCGAGCTCTTTTCCCTCAGTGCGCACAGGTGGTCGAGTTCCTCCTCGCCCACCTCACTCTTCGCTTACCCCTTGGTTAGCTGACCTCCCCCGTTAACCAATCAGCATCGAGCTCGGCAGCCATGCTCATCAAACTTCACGAAATGCTAAGCACCTAGCCACAAAACGTTTCACGTTAATATTAAAAGATAAAAATAAAACACGCTACCGGCAGCTGCATGCTTTGAGTCCCTAAAACGACACACAGGCAACCGTGTCCACCAGTAGTTTCACGATCCAGGTTGGACGTAATTGAGGCAATCTAGCAAAAGCCCAACTATGCAAGTAACGCGGGCTCTGTGTAGCATGAAACGAACGGACGTCGCTCCGTGATACCTCCATCAGCGAATTTCCTTATAAGGCTCGCGCCCCGGGGCGCGTATTAGGATTTCCTCAGGGTATAGAATAATGGGGAAAATCCGAGGACCTGACAGGCCCATTTGGACGTCCCGCTCTTACCGAAGCAGCAGAGAAGCGCAACCTTTCGCACTCGACGTTTGAGATAAGACGGCTCGTGACAGTAAACGGAGCCGGAGCAGTGCTCTCTGCGTCAAGAGTAGAAAAATGCGCGAGTCACTTAGGACGGTGGCGACACGATGACTGGCAATATCGGTGGTTAACAACAGTTTTGTCGGGAAAAACACGGCGTGCATGTTAAAGGCACGCACACGGTGCCGCCGCCTTTAGCGTCGTACTCTCCCCCCCCCCCCCCCCCCCCCCCCCATTTTTCGCTACAACGCCTACAGACACACACCTGGGTGGCCCGTAACAAAAATCGCGCAGGACATACGCGATGATGGCCGGTTCCGATAGGGAGTCGTAAGCGAATCTCCGAGGTACCATACGTTTAGGCGTGAAACACTGGCGGCTGTTTACCTAAGCCGCCGCAGCGTCGGTGCAGTTGCGGAAAAACGCGCGTCCCTGGAGCGGTTGAAAAAAACAAAAAAACATTCAGGGGTCCCGGATTTGCCCCACGGTTTTACTCCGTGAGAAAACCCCAATACACCCCCGGGGCGGCGACTCTGTTAAGATATAAAAGTAGAGGGAAATACCTCGGACATCGCAGAACTCCGCGAGGACGCGTCTCGCCTGCGACGCGGCGTCCCTCAGAAACTGTCCAAGGGCGTCTATTCCCGCGACAGGACGACGCCGAGGAGCGACTTCGGGGGCCGGGGCGGCCGTCACCGCCGCGGCGCACAGCATGTCTCGGAAAACTCATCGCGACCCAGAGCGCGAAGGGTGCCACCGCGCACGGTGACGGGAGGGCCGTGACGCCCATTGTACCGGATCCCTGGACCGCACACGCCGACGTCGGTGGCCTTGGAGCGTGGCACGCGCACTGGAAGGGTCACGTTTGCCGTCCCTCTGCGCGCTGACAAGCCGCGGTCAACAGATGACGCCACAAACTGTATAGAGTCTAACAAAAACAACAAAACGGGCCTCTGTTTCCGCTTTGCTTCGCTGCAGACTACACGGCCAAATGCGATCATTGCTCGCCTCCTATGAAAGCTATTTTCTACTGATTCAGTTTCGACCAACAGAATGGAGAAGGAGATTCAATTGTCGTGCCTTGAACGGCTAAGTTGAAAACTAAACTAAACGAATGACAGCAACACGAATTCTTTGTTTGTTTACAACGCAGCGCTCTCGTGTCCAATTTGTGGCCCGCGCTGTATCGAGGATGATGACGTAAATAATGCGATCCACAAGCCTTGTGTTAAGTAAACACCAAGCCCGGTGGATAACATCAAGCTGGACAAAGCGCCCCCTGTAGATCGATATCCTCGCCAATAGTGAGTAACTAAACATTAAACGTCCGTACATTTTTATTCAATAAACGTGGTCATGTACAGCCAGACTTGCATGGTACACTCTCCGGCAGTATGAAAGACCCACTGGGAGCGCGTGGCCGACGCGGTGGCTGGCGGGGGCGCTGCGAGCGCTCCGGGCAATTCCATTCTGCTTCGAGGGGAGGACGCTCACTCGGGCTCAGCTAAAGCGAAACGCGCTTTATAAAGATTGTGCTGAGCCCCGAGTGAGCGTCCTTCCCTCGAAGCAGAATGGAATTCCCCGGAGCGCTCGCAGCGCCCCCGCCAGTCACCGCCTCGGCCACGCGCTCCCAGTGGGTCTTTCATATTGCCGGAGACTGTACTCATTACAAGTAATCAAACTATACTTGTAATCGATTACTTCTCGCAGTAATTTTCTAATAATTCGATTACTTTTATGAGGACGTAATCACGAGAGTAATTCGATTAATTTTTGGAAGTACTAAAGTTTCTCGTAACCGTTACTGGTTTTCCCCTCCTTCCTAATGGCGCCTTTTGTTTCCTACAAGTTCCCTACCGAAGCACCCTCGAACCAAGCCTCTGAGGGGAGGATGGTCTATCAAAGTTGGTCTATTGAGTAGATGAGTAGTTTGTAAGTCGGTCATTCTAAATCAACAATGGACAGTACGAAAAACACGTTTTCAAACCGGCAGAAAGATCTGACCTGAAAATTTGAAGAAATCGGAAAAGTAATATGGTTACTCTTCCA